CATTCTTTGATGGATGTCAGAGAGTGATTCGACTTGACTGGAGAAGTTTCAAGACGCTTCATAGTTTTACCCAGAAGCAGTTTTTAAACCTAATTGAGGATAATTTCTGTAACAGATCAAGCAAAACCTGTGTGGTGCCACCAAGACCTTAAAGTGTCCCTGCACTTTAACACGTGAGATTAACTGTGTGTCCAGGTAAGATTATTCTTTACAAAGCTGAAGAGTTAATCATGCAGGTGAGCTCTTAGAAAAACAGCTTTTAAGTGAAGACAGTCAGCAAATAGACAGGGAGCTTAACTCCTGCTCTGCAAATGACAAGCCTTGACCTTCTCCTTGTAATTGTGTAAGCAACCTGACAGTGACCTTTAGTTGCACCATGTTACAGGATCTAAAAGTCAACAGCATATGAAGTAAAAGTCCATCTCAATTGTTTTGGTCCTTCTGCTCTGACTGCCCACCCAGCTCTTAACACTAATTTTAAAACAGAGCTATGTGAGGGGCTCACAATAACAAAACGTGCTTTGTGGATAGCGTGCTGCTCGTTATAATAAAATTTGCCTGAGGGAGAGCTCTCACAAAAATGTCCACAGTTTCTGTCATTGATCACCTGCAAGTATTAAAACTGTTTACAACTTTGAGTTTTCCCACGTTTTGGACTTGTTCTCTGAGCAAAGCCTTTGGTACTTTGACCAAACTGTAACTGAAATGTACAAAAAAAATGCATCTGAACACATGCAATACATTTTATATCCATGGGAACAAATGAAATATTGAAACTGATTTTTGGTCGGATAAAAGTAACTTCCCAACAAACTAAATCACATCTGCTGCTTGCTGTGTTTAATCCAATGATCTCCTGATATTTCATCATGCAGTTAAGTACTTTTATCATTCTATTAAGTACTTTGTATGATGGTCAAGGGGGGAAATGTGTTACAGTGACTGAAAAGATTTACATCTGCAGTGTATTACTGCTCTGTAGGTGTTCAAAAGCAGATACAAAGAAAGCCCAAGCAGACAAAAACAACATCATACATGTGCTACAAAGGGGAGAATGTGCTGGAAGGGAAGGATGGTGATGCAAAAAGCCCAAACACCTGCACTAATGGCAACTGCACTGCTAGTTTGTCAGCAGGTCAAAGCCTTAAATTACAGCAGTCAGGGGAGTCCAACCTGAACTGTAACACTGGGATTACCAAAGGCACAATGGGGATGGGAAAGGGTTGAGATATATGTAATGTCCAGCATGGTTTAGTTAGTTTGATTTTAGCAAGGACAGTGGACCCAGTGGTTTTCTTACTGGGGTTTAGCTCTGAGCAGCCTGGTATTGTTTTCACTGAAACCCTGCTTAGGTTTCAGAAGGTGGGCGCAAATGATGCTTAACATGCCTTTCACTCCTTTCTCATCCTGCCTAGTTAGAAGAATACCAACACACCCCCTGTACTCAGGGCCTCTGAGCATAGTCAATGATACCGCTAGATACACAGCCAATGCACAGCTAAACATTGTCAACAACACACCTGCAATCGATCTGCTGCATATTTGTTCACTTAACTTTAAGCTTGAAGTGCACCTGTACATATCTGCGCACATTCTTTTTGAAAGATATTTTAAACCTTAGGGGAGCCTTTGAGCAAAATTTTACAAAACACGTTTTGCTCAAGGCAAACCTTTTTGACGTGGGTCCTCTCACATAACTAAAGTGAAGGAAGGAGTAATTAAAGGCTTAACAGTAAAAGAATGTGGTTTTGCATGGCTAACAATGAAGACGTCAATGTGGTGAAGCTTCAACGCAAGGGAGCTTGGCTTCATACTAGGAAGGTTAAGTTCATAATAATAATACTAATAATACTAATAATAATAATAATGATAATAATAATAATGTTATTATTATTATAACTTTACTTATAAAGCACTCTCAAAGACAGATGTTTACAAAGTGTATTAAATTTCATAATTGAAGGCCATTTTCATATCTCATAAGCAACCTTGATATTACAAGAACCATGCAGCATAAAATGAGGCCATGAGGACCAAAATAAAAGCTTAAAACAAAAAATCAGTTGGAAGAAGAAAATGCAATAAAGAGGGGTCGAAAGCAGAAAACAGGTCAGCAAATATAAAAAGACAATATTAATAAAGATAATAAAATAATAATGAAACAATAATAATAATAGCAATGAAAAAGTAAAATAATGGTCATGAGCAAAAGATAAAACAATAAAAAAGCCTTAAAGGTTATATAAGTGTAGAAGAATTGTGACAAAAGCTCAACAGACAGTAAAAGATGGCATCACATCACATCACAAGCAAGTCTGTAAAAGTGCGTTTTTCAAAATTGGCCTAAAAGAAGCAACTGACTCTGCACGCCTCATCTCCTCTGGCAGGTCGTTCCAAAGTCGTGGAGCTCTGATGGAGAAAGCTCTATCATCTCTAGTTTTGAGCTTCGACTTTGGAACAACCAGGAGGCCTTCACCAGAGGATCTGAGGCTGCGAGCAGGCTCATATGGTATTAATACTTTGAAATATAGCCTGGAGCAAGTCCCACGAGTGCTTTAAAAGTAATCAATAAAATCTTGAAATCAATTCTAACGTTGTATATAGATATATTTTGTCGTTTGTTTCATTTTATCTTTGCAATTAGGTGTAAACATGCAGGGACTAACCCATATTCCCACGTCTGTATACATTAACTGCCACTATAAGGGATAATTCATTTATTATGCAACTTTTCAAACTTGCATATCTAATTAAAGCTCTTCTATGAAGTTGGCAGAGACTGTGGGAACTCTTGCATTAGCTTATTCTCTGTATCTTTCAGAAATACAGTCAACAGCGTGCATTAGGAGTCTGTTAATCATGCTAATTGCTGTATTTGCAATGTTTCTTTGCGCATCCATATTTTCTGACTTTTCTTTGCAAGCTTTTATTACTAATCTCTTCGCCTCGAGAAAAAGAGTTTGTTTGTTTGTTTTGAGCGGACCATTTTTTAACATCTTAACCAGCAAGAATTCCCCCTGAGGCCTTCTCTTAAGTCCATGATGGCTAAAACAAAGAATGTCCGGAGGTATGTGCTGACATGTTGGTAAAGAGCAGAAGAAACATATAATTTTTGTCGCCTCTCACTACTTTCACAATTTCAAACCAGTTTTTTGGGGGTCAGAGACCTGCCGGCCCCCCTGTACATAGACACACAAAAAAACAGCATGAACTGGGATCAAGGATTTCATTCTTCCATATCATGATTTTTCCTCACATCATAAACAAGACCTTTATGACACATGGGCCTCCCTTCAACTGGAAGCATCAAACAAACAACTTATTTTCAAGCAGGATAAAGGACCACCTTCTGCTTTATATAACATTTCTATAGGTTCAGTGTGTACGGTACTGCTGCATTCAAAGCAAGTTAAGAGACACCTTTTTGAAGCTTTCGAGCATATATGTCGTGTCTAGACACATATTATCCCAAGGGCAACCATAAACCTGAAATGGAAAAAAGTCAAACAACAATGAACCTGACGAGAGAGTTATTGTCATATGTCAGGATGAGGAGGAACACATTGTTCCTGCTGCAAACTCTCAGATATATAGTGTGAGAAGTGCTTATAGTTTCACACATACTGTTTTGTGTGAGCTTTAACCGCTCCTTCATAATAAATACAGTGAGAGGTTTGCATCAGGCCTGTAATCATCTTTAGGCTAAATACTGGTGTTTCTGATGCAGTCCCTTATGGATATCTGATACTAGACTACTTTTTTCTCCACCAAGAAGGTTTTGTTTCTTGTTGCCCATGTCATCTGGTTGGAGTTTACAGCATTGAGCATACTCAAATCTAACTTCCTGAACTAAATTGCTCTTGGATGAAGATGTGTATATTATTAATGCCTGGACCAGTGAGCTTGGCCTACATTCCCACTCTGTATATTTGGAAATTTTGCATGTTATTGCCAAAGATATTGTTCAAACACAATGTTTTTGTTGGTCAAACAAAATGTTTTTGTTGGTCAAACTCTTTCTTTTGTGTCTGGAAACATAAATGTAAGGCATCCAGGGACTCCATTCAGTTTTATTTGTTTTCTTGATCTGTTTTCCTCTGGGCTGTTTGGGTTGTTTTATGTTTCGTAAGGTAAAGGTGTCATCTTTGTATGTATGAAAAACTCTTAATTTTGATTTCTTTTGAATGAATACTCTTTCAGCCTTTTTTCAAAACATGGATGACTTCATTCTTGTATCTTAAAGCCAGTCTTGACATTGACATGTCGTTTTTTCTTCTGGCATTGTGATGTGCGTGACAAGTCTAAGAGAAAAACTTTGCCAGGGGGTCTGTCTGATCCCACCACTAGACTGGGGGACTTGAAAAACTTCTTGTCATATATTAACCTATATATTTTAAAATATCTTGTATCATGATAAGGTGAATTCTTTCATTGCAAGAAGAAATTTTGTGCAAAATAAAAAAAATATCTAATCCTTTTTTAAAATTATATCAAATGTAATTTTTTGAAGTTAATATCTAAAGTCTTTCTCTTGTTGGCAGATTTTATTTTTTGCAAATCTCAAAGTGGTCATAATTTATTAATTGGTTAAAAGATAAACAAAGAATGTTAATGCAGCAAAAGCAGACCTGACGTGACAATGAGGCTGTCAGGTGTCACATCAGTGGAGGAGATAATATATGCTAGAAACCAGTTTTTTGGGTTCAGAAACCTACCGCCCCCCCTGTAATTTTACCTCCTGTACACCTTCTGGGGGAGGGTCCGATCGTAGTATTACGTAATCCAGTGTGTATATAACGAAGGGAAGTCTGCTGCAAACCTCAGGCTGGACATTTCCAGGTCTCTTCTCTTGTTTGAGAGCAGCAGTTGGCTTGCAGGCGTCTTGCAGGTAATAATCCTTGAACCTTTTTTGAAACAGCTCTTGTATTTTAAGTTAGACCCAGAATTTTCTCATCTTGTCTTTCTCATTATGTCTCAGTCTATCTAGAGCTCTTGTCAACATGCCTTCAACTTGTACCTCAATCATCAACCTGCGCTACCAGGATGGCAGTGAGGGGAGCGCCAGCAACCCTGCCAAGTTCAACAACCAGGACTTTGCCCATCTGAAGGACACATACTCCCGCAGAGGGAGGCTGTATGTGGATGACACCTTCCCACCTGATAACCGCTCTCTGGGAGACCTGCCCGGTATGCCCAGCTGGCGTGAAGATCAAGTGGAATGGCTTCGTCCAGCTGTAAGTACAACCATTTTCCAAATATTTTCCAATATTTTATGTCTATTCATGAAATATGACATTAATGGATGTATGTATTTCCTCCAATGTATTATCCAGGATCTCTTGAAGAAACAAGGCATCACTGATGAGCCTGTTTTCTGCACCAAAGGCGCTTCCAGGTTTGACTTTGGCCAAGGCCAAGTTGGTAAGAAACTCAATGAATCACGAAAAACAAAAGAAGGAAAAAAGCTGAATACTTTTCTAGTTGAAAATTTGAATCTTTTAACGTACTTGACACAATCCTTATTTCTCTTCATTTTTCAGGTAACTGCTGGTTTCTGGCTGCAATTTCTTCCCTGACTTTCCATAAATCCTTGATGGTGCAGGTTGTGCCCATGGATCAGTCCTTCAAGGGCTATGCAGGAGTCTTTCACTTCAGGGTAAAAGATTCACAGTATCAATACCTTCACAATGAATCTGCTCAATGAGTTTGGTTTGCATCTTACCTGTTTTTCTTCTCCGTCTTTTCTCCATCAGTTCTGGAGGTTTGGCAAGTGGGTGGATGTTGTCATTGACGACCACCTGCCTGTCATTGACGGCAGGTTGCTGTCAGTGAGCTCCAAGAGTGGCAATGAGTTCTGGGCTCCTCTGATGGAGAAAGCATACGCCAAGTATGAAACTAATTCACTCACTCAGATTTGACATAAATGAAGGCTTCAGCTGACTGAAGTGTTTGTTAACCTGTGAGTTAACCTCAGATGAATACTTTCTTTTGACAGCAGCATTTGTGAACAGTATTTTTCACTGTGTCCCTCAGGGTGTGCGGTTCATACGCAGACATGCACGCTGGTCTGTCATCAGAGGCCTGCAAGGACTTCTGTGGAGGCATAGCCATGACTTACGAGCTCAAAACAGTCCATAGTCATGGCCATGATTCCAAGATGTGGGACTCACTCAGCAATGCCTCTGGCTGCAACTCAATGATTTGCTGTGGGACTCCCTCAAAAGATGTAAGAACCATTCTTTTAGAGGTTAAACTCGAATGAAAACTAATCTTTGGAAGGATTTAACTCTTTTGTCTGTTTCAGGGTAGGGTGGTAAACTCCGTGGCCGACACTGGACTGGTGGCTTCTCATGCCTACTCTGTCACAGCTGTCACTACGGTGAGACAAAATCATGAGTGCACAAATGTTAAGAGTTGAAATAAGAAAGGGGTTTGATTTCTGACAAGATTTTGAAGAGTAATCATGTTGCACTTGCTAATTTGGGAATTTTCTCACATCTGTAGGTTGAATATTATGGTACCAAAGTGATGCTGGTGAGAATCATGAACCCTTGGGGCCAAACAGAGTGGAACGGAGACTGGAGCGACAAGTAAGAAAAATCATTCTTCTATCAACATTTAATAAAAATGTAGCTTGTACTGCACTGCTAGTAAAGACATTTTTTTTCAAATGAGAAGAGAAATAATGGAAATGTCTGTTGGTTAATTTGATGTTCTTGTGTGCTCAGGTCAGACAAGTGGAACGGTGTGACCCCAGAGGATCGCGAGAGATGTTTTGACCGTGATGATGGGGAGTTCTGGTAAATATGATAAATGAAAAATACAATATGAACTAGAAAGAAAGTTTTTATGACAGATTTGAGGTCCAAAATTTTGAGAAATATAACTTCCCCTTCTATGGTGAGCTTGTGGTGTGTTCACAGCACTACCAGGGGTCAGAAAAAATAAGGGTATCTTGAAAATTAAAAGAGTATGAAGTATCAAGTGCAGAAAAACTAAAAGCAACATAATCGCTTTTCCATTGTAATCCAATGTAAGTTGCATTTTTCAATATTTTCACATTTTTCTGAACTGTCCTCTTCTCTTTCTCCTGCCTGTATCTGTTAGGATGGAGTTGGGGGACTTCTGTCGCTACTTCCTGTTGCTGTTTATCTGCTGTGAGAACCCCAACTTCATTGATGGAGACCTCTCATGCCAGTGGCAGTGCATGATTTATGATGGCAGCTGGGACGCAGGAAGTACTGCAGGCGGCCCCCGTTCTCAATGTGAGCCCAATTTATGCTCCTGCTTTCAACCATGACCATAACCTTTTTATTTCTTTATCAAAAAAAATGTACAGTATACAAAACATTAAACTGCCTTTTATATGTTTCTTATCCACTGTAGATAGCTTTCACACAAACCCCCAGTACCGCATCCAGGTCACTAAAATCGACAAAACTGAGAAGGACGACAAGAACATTTACCTGTCCCTGATGCAGAAACCTAAGGTGCAGAATCGCAGAAAGCAGAGTGAGAGATCCTACCCAATTGCATTCAGCGTCTACAAGGTAAGCATCCCCAGTTATGTTCGATTGTACAGATTTAAACATCAAGCTACTTTAAGTATTTGAAACACAAATAAAAGAAAAGGGGTAATATTCATGTACTGATATTCTCCCTGTTTCACATTCAACAGGTTCCAGAGGGGGTAAGAGCAAACCTCACACTCTATCTGTGCACACCAAGCTTATCTTCATTGACACAATCAGAATAATGTGACATAAACCCCTGATAAAATAAGGATCTGTACTGTTTTTAGACACGACCAGGTCGCCTGCCACGCGCCTTCTTTGACAACAACAGGTCCATCGGTGATGTACAGAACTACACATACAGCAGAGAGATGGTTGAGGGGTTTAGCCTGGAACCCGCTGAGTACGTGATCGTCCCCTTCACAATGAAGCCCTACATGAGCGCAGACTTCGTTCTGACAGTCTACTCCAAGTCTGAGGCCAAGATCACGTAAGGACTGAGTGATATTTCTAAGAATACTGTTAAATAAAAAGCTTAAAATTTCTCCTAAAATCAGAGAGGCTGAAAACTCCTGGAAACTTATTTGTCTCTCATTCTGCTCTTCATCCAGTCCCCACGATAAACATGACCATGACCATGACCATGACCACGACCATGACCACGACCATGACCACGACCACGACCACAAAAAGGATGACGAGAAGCTGATCCTTCCTGAAGTACGTTGAATTTCAACAATTCTGAATGTTTATCTTTCAGTCAAAAAGCTCAGCTCAGAGTCTGACTAAATGGCTGTTTATCTTTAGAGACCAGATGAGAAGAAAGACGATGGTGGGGCGAAGGATTCAATTCATGCCCTTTTCAGCCGCTATGCTGATCAGGTTTGTTATTTTTCTGATATTACGAACGCCATCAAATCTTACTCTCTTCGTTTCTTCTGTTTCTTTTTTGCCTATTTGTGGTTTTAGTCCTGAATCTTTTTATTTCTGTGTTATAAAAGAGAGGTGAACTGAGTGCTTTCCAGCTTCGCAAACTTATGAATGAGCAGTTCCCTCACGGTAAGACAATTGATAACATACACTCTTCAAATATGAATCATAACCTCATGCCTCTGAGTTAACAACAAGTTCACTGTTTCTCTATGAATAATTCACAGGATCCAAGTATGGCTTTGGATTTGACACCTGCAGGAGTATGATTGCCTTAGTGGATGTATCCTTCTGAGACAAAAAAGTTAAATGTTTAATGTTACCTAATGATTCACCTAACAAGGTCGCACTATTTATCAAAATGAAGTTGCACTATTTTGATCTGTGTAAAGCAAAAATATGTTATTTCTGTTCATAATGAGAGTTCCTTAACATGCAAAGACCGACAAAAACAGGAGGATGACCATCACTGAATTCAGGGCCCTCTGGACAAAAGTACAGGAATACAAGGTACTTTTACCATTTATACAAGTTTGGTGCGAATACATATATAAACCCCTCGAGTACAACATATAAACCACTTTCCTGCAGATATCCACCTGAAGACTGACATGTACTTGGAAGTGTTTTTAGTTGCTAAATGTAGATGAATCTTCTTTGCAGAAACACTTTGAGCGTGCTGATCTGAACAACAACGGCACTCTGTCTGACTATGAGGTCCAGAAGGCCATAGAAGCTGCAGGTAATACTATTTATCAGTGAAACACACAAAATAACCTTTATTAAAGTGCTTCAAATTGACCAATCTAACAATTCTTTCTCTGTGTATCCGCATCAGGACTGAGCACCAACGACACCATGGTCAGGTTGTACGTCTACCGCTACTCAGGCTACTCTTCCACCACCCTAGAGGACTTCATCACCATCATGTTGCGCCTGGAGAAGACAACAAGTGAGTTCCATGACAACCACTGATTTGATCAATTTGAAATCCACCTGGGGTACTGACTTGTGTAGGGGTAGTGAAAACCGGCATGCTCCACCAATATATGTACTCTCACAACAATTATTTAAGTAACATGGCTACATGCTGCACTGACATGCAAAGACAACTACCAGCAGCTTGTTGCAACACAGCCAAACAGTTGCTTTGGACAGCTTTCATACCCCTGATGTTGACAACTTATAGTTCATGGCACCCCTTTAATACTGCTAATGATAGGTTTTTCTGCTTCAGTCTTTGTATATCATATACAATTGGGTTTTTAAGAATAATGAAAAAGAAGACTTTTTAAAAAAATCATTTCTTTACAGACATCTTCAACGACAAAGCTTCTGATGGAGTGATCCACCTGACCTGGGATGAGGTAAGTCAATCTTTAACTAGTGCCAACTACTGGTGTATCATTTCCTTTTCTCAAAGCATTAGACACAAAGACATATAACATGCAGCAGAAAGCTTCTGGTGTAGAAAACATCCCCTTTGTGTGATCATTTTTAGTATATTCTGTAACAAAAGAGGTGTAAACTCTCAATGTGAACTCTCAATAAGTTCTGTATTTTCAATCTTTTTAAAATTCATTTAATTGAAAATTTCAGCAGGTTTTCACATATCTTTAAGATTCTAACAGTTTTGAAAACTGCCTTTTCTTTTGTTTCAGTGGTCCAGCAACTTCATGTACAACTAAAGCTGAGCCGACTCAGAAGCACAGGAGACGCAGACAAGAGAAGAGTCCTGCGACTAAACACTGCTTTCACTCAATTTTAATGTCTCCCTGTGCACAAACCTCGAAAGAAAAACCTGTAACACGTTTATTTTTGTGATACTGTGATCTTTGTGAAATAAACGTTGTTACCATTAATTCATGAGCCGTTGTGCTGTTTCTTTTGCACATTCCAACTGCAAGAGGTACAAGAAGCAAGAGGTGAGAATGTCGAGAGGGGATTATTTTAATAATTCAACAGTCAACAGAAAACAAACAACTTCAACAACTCACTCATAACCCCATATTTATTCATCCTCAGAAATAAGGTGACACAATATTTCCTATGTACAGTCATTATTTATGGTGTATTTCCAGAGGCTTCTATCACAACTCATATGTACAAGTCAGCACCCTTGTTTCACAGTAAGAAATCAACAACCCACCTCCTTCAGGCTAATAGGAAACCCTCATTAAAGACCGTGAGCACACTCTGCTGTTTGAACATCTCCACTGCAGCATACCGTAGGTTCAGTGGCAGGATGTTTACAAAGTGTAGTGCTTTTTCGAAAAATTACGTTACAATACAAAAATTAACACTGAAATGCTCCTTCTGACAAGTATCAAATGTTTAGCATAAGTGTAAAATGTTTCTCTTCTGTCGTCCAAAACTTGAACAAAAAAGTCACCTCAGTTGTCACAGTGAATTGATTCCCCACAAAATGTACAAGTGCCACAAAACTCTGTGGCAGCAAATGTGTTTTAATTCAAGCCTCCAAATGTTTGCAAAAAAAAAAGTCTGTTTTTCTGTCTTTTTCAGGAATACTGAGTAAAAACTACATTTCCCTGCTGTTATGGGGACTCACCAAACCATGCAGGAGTTTAATGGCTTTAGTAGCAGTTTAGGAAGATTTAAGTATTCAAGAAGAAACAACTTAACATTTTTGGTTTTGTTCTTTTAATAAAATATATAGGGGAGACAGAAATTAAATAACAAAATCCTTATTGTCTACATTTGAAAAAGAGGCTTCATGCCATGTTGGGATGTTTCAGGAATTCAGCCCTCAGTCCTCCTCTTTCTCTATGTAGGCTTTACAGGCCGAGCGTGCCATCTGTCTGGCCATGAACCGCTCTCTCGCTGAACTAACAGTCTGATCCGTGCTTCGCTTTGCAAACTTGTTGGCCTGATCCTCACCTTCCTGTCTTTGTACATCCTCTTTCTCCTTTGTGGCTTCTTCCTTCCTCTCCTGATCTTTCTCTTCTTTCTCCACCAATATCTCCTTATCTGCCTCCTTTCCTCTCTCCCTCTCTTTTTCACGGTCTTTGTCCCTCTGTTTGTCCTCATCTGGATTTGTCCTCTTCTCTCTCTCTCCGTTCGTATCTCTCTCTCTGTCTTTAGGGCTTCTCTCTCTCTTCCCCTGCCTGTCTTCCCGGGCTGTATGCCCCTTGCCTCTGTTTTTGTCGTCTTCTCTGCCTCTGTCTCTGTCCTTGTCCCTGTCTTTCTTTCTATCTCTGTCATCTCTTCTTCCCCCGTGTCTTTCATCTCTTTCCCTTCCCCTGTTTCTATCACTGTCCCTGTCCCTGTCTCTGTTTTTATGTCTATCCCTCTCTCTGTCTCGGTCTTTGTCTCTGTCCCTGTCTCTGTCTCTTTCTCTGTCCCTCTCTTTGTCTCTATCTCTGTCTCTGTCCCTGTCTCTGCCTTGATCTCTGTGGCTTTTCTTATGTCTGTCTCTCTCCCTCTCTTTCTCCTTCTCCTCTGCACTTCCTGATGAAGGCGACCTCTGTCTGTATTGGCGTTTTGAATGAGTGGAGCCAATTCCAGGCTTGTTAAACCCGGATCTCTGCTCATGCCCCTCCTCACTGTCACTACATGAACTTGGGATTTTTTCATGGGATGTTGGTGAAGGTACAGGTGAAGTCCTCTCAGTGTCTTTTGAGGCTTGATTTCTGTGGGAAAAGGAAGAAAGAGGTTTAATATTTTTGTTTTACTATTGACAATTGAAATCATGAATGACCAAGAAACAAGGATCTTTGATTTACTTGGCTGCTGAGCGATCTGGTACTTCCTCCTCTCCGACAGTCTGATTCAGCAGGTGTCGGTAGAAGCCGCTCAAGTCTTTTTGTTTCTTTACGTCTAGGGCAGCTAAGTAAAGAAAGAGAGTTCAGCTCAGGCAAATTGTGAATATTATTTCATGTACCATAACCAGCAACCTTTTTAAGACCTTAAAAATACTCCTCAACTCATTTAAAGTGACTTTCCTGATTTCTCCAGCTTGCAATAACTTATTTGACAGGTAATAAAGCATAACTGTACCCAGATTGTAAAAGGTTTAGTTGACAAATCCAATTTAGAGGAATTAACACATAATCTGGAGTGTTAGTATTTCAATTATCACTGACAAACCCCATATGCAGGCATGGTAATAGTAGTCATGAAGTATTTTTCTAACCTTCCAAGGCTGCTTCTCTCTTCTCTCGCTCCAGCTCCTCCTTCTGCTCTTCAAGTTTTTGCCTGTAAGCGGATGTGACGTAAGCCTCTTTGTCTGCAAACTCTTCTCCTTCTGCCTCCCTTTCCTTCTGAATCTTCCTCTCTTCTCTTCGTTCCTGTTCTTTCTTCCGGTCCTCAACTGCTTTCATCAACTGATGGATGTACTTTGGCTGTAAAATTGAGACAAAAAGTCAGTCATTGCTAACCATCAATTTATTCTCAAATCCCTGTTCAAAATTTCAACAACCCAACAGGTGAATGCAAGTGAGGTTACCCTTTTGTCAGCGCCATGCAGAAGTTTTTTGTTGCTCTCAATCCTCTGCTTTTGAATGTCATCATACACAGCATCGTAATCGTACACTGTGCTGTCCTCTTCCAGGGCTTTCTGCATCTCCAAACGTGTCTTTGTACGGGGGGAAGAGAAAGACAGATGAAGGACTGAGCGGAAAATATCAATCGTAGATAAAATACCTTACTTTTTAAATGTTCCACCGACCTGCTTCATCATCTTCTTTTTGACAGCTTCTTTTTGCAGACTCTCCCCAACAGACGTCTGACAAACAAAACACACAAATTAATTTACTTTTGCAAAAAAAAAGGGTGTGACAGCTTATGATTTATGACATCCTGCTTAAAACAAATACAGAAGTTTGCACACCTCATCATCTGAGTCATCTCCAAACACAGAGGGTTTTTGCAGCATTGAAGTCTTTGATGCTCCTTTCTTCTGAGGCAAGATCAGCCCATACCTTTAGAAAATTAAAGGAAAAATGCTTTTTCTCTCTTGCAGCAAACTTGCATGTTTATTTCACAAACATACATTTCTCCAATTCATTCAGAAAAGGGGGATCTCTGCTGGTTCAAATACAAAGGTTTACATCTGACACTAGTGTTAAGACAACTGAATGAATGACATCGAAGTCTGTTGTTTTGAACTTCTGCTACTAAAAAATGATAGCATGAGAAGTAAAGCGTGTGTTCAAATTACCCAAAGAAAAGACAACCCAAGTATTGCTACATTATATGATATAAAAGTAAACATGATTTGGGTTAGACAAACGCTGGTTAGCACAAGGTTAGCACATCGTTAACCAGCAAACAAAGTAGCGATAGAGATACAAAAAATATCGGTCTTTAATTAGAAATAAGCACTAAGCAGTATAACCATTGCCTCCAAGCACACAAAACCCAAACAAATAGAATAAGCTATAATGTAATATTATCGTACGTTAACAACACGAACATGTTTGCAACTTACTGTTTTGTAGGGGCCGCCATCTTTCCTGACTGACTGAGAACAGATTCGGCAGATTCGACACAATATTGATATGAAAGTTCAGCAAGAGCAGTTAAGCTTAGTTTTACCTCGGTTCATATGTTAGTATGTCTGCTCCTCATCTGACCTTTTATTTTTATTTTTCACTCCCATAAAATAAATATAGGTTAATGATTATGTTACGAATCTGCGAGCTTCCGTTGATAGAGAAGCAAATAAACCATTAGAGGCACAAATTTATAATTTATTTTTGCAATGTTGAATTCAAGAATACATTTCCAGTAGCAAATATACTTAAAAAGTAGTAATGTAAAAGCTTTTAACAGACACAAGTACAAAACCCTTTTATAAAAACAGGTTACAGCCGTTAATGCAATGTTTTCTGTAACCACTAGATGGTAGTATTACTCCAAAATGTCACTTTCTGATCAGTCTATCAATGAAGTCTTGCCCTGAAAACTACAGTCAAGATTAAACCTACAAACTGAGGATGTCTGTGTCAGAGATAAAAATAAAAAAAAGACTGCTTTGACACCTGTTTTCATTAAAATTTACATTTTCGAAAATTTTGTAAAACTGCATAAGAACAGAACGATCAAATGACATTTTTTACATAATAATAATGATTATACGACTACTACTACTACTAATAATAATGATAACAACAATAAAGCAACAATAATTATAATAATAACAATAATTTGATATCAAAAAGAAGAGTGAAATACTTGAATATGTTTTGAAGAGATGTTTTACTCTTGAACCCAATAACCTTTCTGTATCTTTCACATCTGATGAGGAGATGAAGATGCTCCCAATCAATTAACCCTCATCTTTTCTTATTCCCAACACTGTTGTCTGCTTTGTTTTAAACCCATGTGTATCTCCTAAATCAGATCAGAGAACGCATGGCTCACCTGTGATTAAAGCTGCAGCTCTGAACTCCCACTGCCTTCTCTGAGTGACTCTAAATCCAAACACCATTATCTCTGTCGTAATCTCCATCCATCTCATCTCTGGCCTCGCTGTTAATCCCTCTGGTACAAACAGAACAGCTGAAGCTGCCTGATGGATGGATGGATGGATGAATGGACAGTGTGGTGATGGAATAAACTATTGGATATAAAAGACTGGGGTTGTAGATTTACAGAAGCAATATAAAGACCTGAGGATATTAAGATGCTAAAAATAGCAGAGCCAAAGAGGTGAAATGAAGAGAGACTGAACCAACAGATTCTGGTATCTTCCTGTCTCTCTAATGTAAACACTTGTTCTCGACAGCCAAATCGCCGCCCACATGTAATTTTATGGCATTTGACTGATAACAATTTTGAAAGTGAATGAGGAACAGAAACCAGGACGTACACAACATTCAGTGCTGTTGTTTGTACATATCTACACGTATAAGCATCTGGTCTTTGTAACATGATCTGATGATATCCACTTTACATTTGAGTGTGTGGTTTGTGACAGGCAATGGTTGCTGCTATCCCTGATCTGCGCCTCCGGGCAGTGAAGATAACTGTGTAGCAGTTCAGGTTCAGGCAGGCAGGCTACACCTGACGAGTCATGAAATATCACAGATGTTTTTCCTTCTGTCATTACGTAGTGCATCCACTTCAATGACAATTTAAGATGTCGGTTTACAAGACAACTGGTGGTTACTGTTGAGAAAAATCTCACAAGAAGGTTTGGGTTAAATTAAGTTAGAGAGCCACAGATTTCATTTTTGTTTTTCAGGCACAGTATCCTGCAATGTACACATTTTTCATATTACTACATAGTTATTACTTTATACCACTTTGTCACAAAGATTTGTAAATGCCCTCTGACACTCTATACAGAGCTTTCACAGTTTTAGACTGGGCATTTACTGGTATGATGATCAAGAGGGTGGTTAAATCAAGTACGGTATTCCAGCTGTCTTTCAGTAATGGGACTGAAACTCTTATTAGTTTTGCCTCCTCTACATCAATTTGACCAATTGTTTATTCATTTTCAAGAGATATATTGATGATTGAATCAGTCCCAATTAAAAGATGGTTAATTTAAGTAATGTATGATCTGATTTTGCACTAATTCAGTAGTCTTGGGTTTTTACTCCTGACTGCTTTGTTTACGTCCAGCACACAGAAGGTTAATCGGGATTGACAAGCTACGGTTAGTTGCGCATGCGCAGGCAGCATAGACAGAGGAAATAGCCGGGGAGTAGTCAAATAGTCCACGACCACGGAGGAGGACAGAGGGAATACGAAATAAAACCCAACAACCCCGGTTTATCTGGGGTTTCCACCCTCCTGAACAATTATGCTCGTCTCGCCGGTGCCGCTTCCTCTCAGGTGTCCGCTTCCCGGTCGCTGAATGGCGCTGGTTACCGTGCAGCGTTCACCGACCCCCAGCACCAGCTCCAGTCCCTGTGTTTCGGTAAGAGCCGCTTTTTGGGGAACCCTGCTACACTGCCGCTGCCACCACCGTCAAACCTAAATCTTTCCAGGGTTAAAAGGAGAGCCAAGACCTCATTTCCGCTATCTTTTTTCTCGGCTGCTGACAGTCATAAAGTGCCTTGCCTTTGTACTCCTGCGCATGCGTGAAATATAGCTGCTCATCATTTTCAGTTTAAATATCAGTCGTTATTTTCGGTTAAGTTGACCGGTTCGTCAATTAATTTGCACCTTTGGTTGAAAAGACTATACTGTTACTCGAGTTATAAGATAGAAAAATAGGTTTCCTCTTGTGTTAATTGTACTTCAATGTTGACATGGTTCCTCCATACACATTTCCGCCTGTTCAAAGGTTCAGTTGGCAGTAAGCTGAAACAGTAAAGTGGTATAATGAGAAATAGCTTTGAGAAAATGTGTTTAAGTCTTCTATTATTATCTTTCTCGATATGTTATGATTCTTAAAACGTCGTTGTTTAGTGAATTTAGGGGTCGTAGTCCAGCTATCTACCACGTCATTCACTTCCGCTCATAATAACCTCCTTGTGACATGCATGAATACGGGTATTTACCATTGCATTATTGTTGTACGCAGCCTCGGTATGTAAATAAGATTGTGAACGTGTGTGTTTATCTCGTTTGGTTTCTGTTCTTTCAAAACTCAGACCTGACCTGCATGTTCCTCTGTCTGCCTCTCTCTTCCTGTTTGTGTGTGTTTGTGTGTCTGTCTGTGTCTTATGTAGTGTAGTCAAGTCAGCACAGTACACATGCAAAGCAGAGGAGCAGGTGGTTTCTGTGTAGCTTCGTACATTTGCTGGTTTTGTTTCTACAAAAGCAAGAAATCCCACTTCACTGTCAGGAGAAATGTTAGGCAACACTGTCACACACAACCCCACACACTTCCTGTGTCTGCGGGTGATATTGTGATGCACTTACTATCACTGGTTGTTCAGGCAGTTGTATTTACATTTGATAACATCACAAGTTTTGATAATGTAGTTTCTTGTGTATATGTTTAATTAAATAACACTGATATGTGGATAACATGGCACATCACAGTCTAATTTGCTTACACAACTAATGTACATTACAGGACACAGTGATTCTACATTATGTTTGGTTAACTGAAGAGTACAAAAGCCCTTAAAAAGTAAAGGACAGATTTATGTCTTAGAGGCAATGCTTTGATTCATGAAATAGTGATATGGCAAGCTGAATCTAAAGGGAAGTCTGTTTGGAGAACTATGTTATTTTACAAACAAAATATCTGTAAATGGTGCTGGGGATAGGATGATTGCAATGCATGAGTCAGGATAAAGTGCCATGTCAATATTAAGTCCCTTTTCTAATGATACACTGGATTTTCTTAAGTGACCAGTTTCAAAGTTGTTTGAGCAGAAATTGAAAAAATGACTAGCCTAGCCGAGAGGTAAGTAATCTCTCAGTAAACAGTGAAAGGCAAGCACATTTTAGTTACAGTAGCCAAACACAGTTTCACTGTCTGTGAAGAATGAAAACAATGTGAAATTGCTTTGCAAACTGTTAGCAGAGCTAGCATCACCACCCTCCGTCTACACTTGCCATTGCTAGTAACACATTGCTTTTAACAGACACAGCCTACATACAACATTTTCTCAATTTCATAGACCAAAATACGGCCAAACAACACCACATGACGAGATACCATCTTATATCTGTGCGTGTTTACATCCCAGTGTTGGAGCATTTCAGCATCATGGCTGTAGCCATTAACTAGATTGACGGCATCAGTGATAGATGACTTTGCAACAGTAAAGACACAAGTTTGAGCTGCATTTTGGCCCTATAACAATAAACATTTATAAAATGTGTTTAAAAACTGTAATTATAGTGCCAACCATTTAGGGTGATAGCATTTGTGTATTTGACCAAAAGCACAGTTTTTTGTGATACAGTTAAAAAGGAGTAAACAAACTGCAATGTCAGGTTTCACTAAATTTTAAACAAAACAAGAATTTTTAAATCGAAAACCAAAGTGTAGATCCAAATCTCCACGCTTTGACCCAAAGACATCCAGGAGGTAGCTGTCATGAAATGAGTTGCTGTTGGTGCAAGTGTTACAGCTTGTACGCAAAGGACAAAAGAGTCTTTTGGCATATTTTCCAGTCTAATTATATTGGCCAAAATGCTCCACATTGAAAGAAACCTGTTCTCTTGCTAGTTGGACCAAGTAGAAGATTACAGTTTGTGTTTGGGCAATGTGTAATTTTCTACTCTCATCTGTGTCCAAAATCACAAATTACAGCCAGGTATGTCAGTCACAAACTACTATTTCGACAGAGTACTGTGGCCTTGTGAGAGACCCTGTCCTTCACACCTTTTTGTTCTCCAAAGGAAAAACAGGTTCTGCGTGTGCATAATGATTACTGTCTTGCTTTGTACACACACATTTTCGGTTTTAGCTCTGACTGTCAGCCAGATCAACTCAAAACATACAGGCCTACAAGAGCAGATAATTTTATTTTTTTAATCTCAACTTTAAGGAATAAGCATCAAAGGGTACAAGAACCGAATGCACTGAATGCGGCCTGTAGCTCTTCTACTTTGAGTGGTCATATATGTTACAGACTTGCAGGGAGTCTGTCAACATGTTAGTGGCGTGAGCTGTAAAACTAGAGGAAGAAGAAATGCACAAGTGTAATTTAGCAAGGTGAGGCGGACAGGGGTGGTGAAGGATATGCTGTTTTCTTGTTAAAATATGCTTTCAAGTTGCAACCCGTACACACATTTAGTGATAATGCACTGCGCACACAGACACATGTCTGGTTTCCTGTGTCCTGCCGTCATGTGATGTTTGTGTGTGAAGTCTATCATGAGATTCCTGCTAAGCTGCTCTTTTCACCTATATTTACTTGAACTGTATGTGGAACCTGTCCAGCGTTTCTACTCCATGATGAGAGTGTTTTCAGGCAAAGAAACACACACTCTGTAGTACACAGAGTTAGAAACATTCATTTAGCCTCTAGGGGTAAGAGTTTTTACCAGTTCTAACTTGGTAACTCCATTGTAGTTGCTGTAACTTGTGATTCTCAGAGCAGCACAGACTTGTCTTCAGTCCCTACCCAGCCGGCTCATACAGGCCGCGAATTTCCATAAGCTTTGGGGGGGGAAAGCCTTCCATTTTCATGTATGCAAAATGTTTTTTCAAATCAAAGCAAAGGCTAGGTATGTCACAATACAAGACACCAAGTCATGGAAACTTTGTCTGATCACATGGGATAAAATGGAAACGTCACAACACTACGAAAAAGTCTAGATTAGTCTCTTACTCATTCATGTGTTTATTTGAAACATTCACTATCATTACATCTTATTTATAAGGAATAGCAGCCCAAAGTTAAAGTTGAATACACTATTTCTCAGCAAGTGCTCACCATGTTATAATTACAGACTCCCTCCACTCAAAGCAAGGCTTATGTTCTCATTTGGCATTAATCACTGAAACCAAAAAGGAGAAGGCTTGAATACACAACCCCTTTTTGACATGTTGATATCAGCATCAGGTGTACAACAAACCACAAGGTCTTTTTAATATTTCTGGTGTTGTTGGCCCTGAGAGCCCTGAGAGGAACTAGGATTTGGATGATCTGACAGAGAGAGGATAGGCAAACCTCATCATAGTCATTGCGTTAAACTAAAAATCCTCATGATAAAAGTTAACTCGTCCAAAACTCACCAATTCATAGCAACTCTACATTTGCAACATAAGTAAATACATGCACAATGCTCTTAATATGCATGGAAATCAAGTGTAGAGTGTAGAGCAGTGTTACTGTATGTAATGAGGAATTCTTAATATTTTTTCATCAATTTCTCCTGAACCACGGTGAGGTAGCCGTGTCGAAGTTCTTCTTTTCCTCTGCTCATTGTGTCCTCTCATCAACCCGTAATCCAATTCTTCCTATTATGAAGCAGTTAATGGTTTGTAATGTTGTTAAGGCTACTTAAGCCCACATACAGTGTAAACAAGATAAGAACCAGGCACCACAAGATCAGTGCCAGGTGTTAATCTGCTGCTAATCCTTTGGCCCTCTCATTTAGCAAAGCGAAAAATCACAAAGCGCCGATCTTACTCTCTCACCCTCATCTGCCTGTTTGTTTTGTGTATTTGTGTGTGTGAATATGTTACTCTCTGACTGGCCACACCTTATAAAAAAACAGGCTGAGGTCATTTTCCTGGAGAGAGTGCAAATTGAGGGCATGATTCACTTTACTGGTGCGTTCTGCTCAGACAGTATTGAATATTATGTAAATGCTTTATACAATTTCAATGGGTTTTTGTGAATTTAGAAATGTCTGAGAATGCAGAAATGTGTGTTTTCCCATTACAAACACTTAAATTTGTGCAACAGTGGTGTTATAATCATTCTGGTATGAAAGACTTGTGCCCATTTACATTACGCTTAAAGGGTCATGTCTCCCTATCAAATCACTGCAGTTCAGTGTTTTCAGATCTCACTGTCTCAAGAGCTAAAAGGACCAGCTGTTTTTTTTCCACCACTCTCAGCACTCTTCCTCAAAAATATTTCAATTTATAGATAACCCCTCACCCTGTTAATATTATTTTTGCGTCACTGCCCAATCAAAATGTAGGAGTGTGACTTATCAAGTGGGTCAACAACATCTACAGATAAGAAAGTCCCTTTCAGTTTCCGAGTGTAGACCTGCCGTCAATGCCAGTACATAGTTTACTTCCTTTTTTATTTTCTTGTTCAAATTTCTCCGCGTAAAAGCGAAGATTACAATAACAGAGCGATGGAAAACAGACTTATCAGTCACTACCAATAGAAACAATAGTGCCCAGGGGACATCTTTTGTGAGCTAAGATTTATAACTTCATGTCCCTTCTTTTTAATGATTACAAATGCCTTCTTTCATTTTGCTCTTATGAACTTTCTAATGGTTCTTTTGATATATTGTGAGCAGCACTTTGAATTGCCTTGTTGCCAAATTGTGCCAAATAAATAAACTTGCCTTGGCTTGCTCTGCTTAGCCAGCGGGAAGCCCTGGCATCACAGAAAAACACTGTTTGGTCACTGGCCCACAGACAGGCTTTGCTACTATGGTGTTTTCTGTATCAGGACAGAACAGAACGAGCCAACAAGTCCTCTATAGAGCAGCTTAAAAATGATCAAATACTGCCTACAAAGAGTTATATCCAAAGACGTTACACACATATTAGAGTCTCTGTTTACATTACTTATTCTTTTCCATTCTACTGTGAAAATCTAATAGCAGTCTTAAGTTTTCACATACTTGAAAATTCTATTAGTTATTTTCTAGACAAGTTACCGAAGGGATTTTAGTATAAACATCTAAACGATTTTGTTCATCAATATGAAGATAAATGAAAAGATTGATTGATTGATTGATTGATTGATTGATAAACGGATACATTTTAAAATGATATTTTCCTTGTTTGTCTTTGTAGGAGTCCGGTAGTGGGGAGGATGATCGTCGCTCTCAGCCGAGGAGGTAAGATATTGACATACGTCGTGTAGGAACCTTGACTACTCTGTGCCAAGAAAATGCATTTTTTTCTCCTTGCTGTACAGGAATTTATCCCTCTCCCTCAAATATAAATTGGATTTAAGATTGGATTTCAAAATAGCTGTGGATTAGTGATATTGTATCTTTGTGCAAGGCCAAATATTTAAAGAGACAACAAGAGCGTACAGAAGTGTCAAAGGACAGAGGGTCTGCTATGTTTCTGTCCCTGACTTCTGACCTGACATAACTTGACCTAGACCAGTGAGGGAGAAAACAGACTTCACCTAAAGGAGCACACTATACTTCATCATTAGATATGTCTGTCCCTCCAGGATTTCCTTCCTCTACTGATACAAAGAGCTGCTGTGCTATTGTGGTGACACAATACTGTGCTGTCCCTTGTTGCCTCGGGGGCTGAGTTGGGAATCTGGTTTATCCTGTTTCATTCAACCACATTTTCAACTGGTTTTAGTCCACCAGTAATCAGCAATTTCCTGCCACTGCCTCTGTGTTTATTTGTTCTAGATACACATGATACCAGTGAACTTTAAATTGCAGTAACACTCTCGCTTCCCCCCCTTTTTTATTTGGCTAGTGGATAATTACATCCTGAAATCCTCTCATGTGAGATTATGAACAGTACTTTGCTGGCTGTCCACCAGAGGGCGGTAGCCCCCCCTGTGAGTTAGGTCTGTGTATGTGGGTCAGGGGAGCTGCCCTGCTGATCCAGGGAGGATTTCTGGCCCCTCCCAAAGTCAGAGCGCCTGTGTGTCTGTCTGGTCATCGGAGCTCTGTGGCATCCAACTGAGAGGGCTCTCTGTATTTGTGCAGCTGGGAGTGAAATCTATATTCACATACTGGGGCAGTGAGAGCATTTGTGTGTGGAAGAAGGCAGGTATATGATCAGTCATAATTTTGATTTACAGTAAAATGTAAACAAGTATTATCCTCAGTGTGTTTGCTCTGGATTATTTGACCATTGACCTTAATGCTCTCCTGTCATACAGCCATCAACATTTGGCAAGAGGAGACATTTCAGTGGAAGCTTAGGCTGCCCTGATGCCAGACTTGACTGTACACTGCTCTATTTTACTATAATACACTATGACTCTGTTGCCTATAAGGACAATCTTTTACATTATGTCAAATGAGCACTTGTTAATATTGTGTCATTGACAGTTATTATGGGTTATACTGATTAGCAGATGGTGGGGAATATTAAAGTTTTGGCAGTCACCTGCTTGGCTGGGTGCTGCCACCAGACATTGAATAGAATTGGTTCATATTCTGTTGGATGAACTTGCTGCATGTATGTGCATTTTGTGGTAAGATAGAAGTAAGAAGATAAGGATTATATGTATCATGAAAATTATAAAAAATGTAGTAATTGAAGTTCCAATTTGAGTTGCCATTACTGTCCAAATTGCGAGATAATCTCATCTCGGTTTAGAGTCAGAACTGTCAAATAGATGTCGGCCTGTTCGCTGAAGGGCAGAGTTAATGTCCCAATCTGCTGACGTCAGTGTTATAGAAGTCAGCAGCTGCAGCAGAGCTCATCTCTCACAGAGGTAGTGACATTCATTCAAACCTGAATAAGCCCTCAGTGATGCAGTGTGTCTGTAAGCATGAGCGGTGCCTACTGCAGTGCTGCTGATTAAAGTTAGTGACATCAGCAGAACGGCCACGTCAGTGAAAGCAGCAACGTCATTGGAGGACCTGCAGAGGAGAGAGCGAGGGAAAAAGAGGCGGATATAAGCATTCAGTTAAAAAGAAATTATTTTCTTTTAATAGCCCATTATTCAGATAGATAAAAACACTGTAATTTATTTTTCTCTCCATTTATGCTTTCGTGTCTCAAAGATCGCTCAATAGATCTGTTTTACTCGCCACGAATAAGTCTATTCCCTATGATGTCTGTAAAATTTTAACAAATAAAAAAGAACCTTGTTCAACTGATAGGGAAGTAAAAATATCTATTGTGTTCGACAGGTTCAAGTGCCGTTTCAAAGTTATGTCAATATTGACCTGTTAGATTCAAGCAGTCTTTGTCTTGATGAAGGACAAACCAAAACCAATGTGCAAGTTATATTTAAGCATTTCATTTAGTCCTTGAAACAAGTGTCCGGCAAACAGGTGCAGATCAGGGTTTGTTAGCGTCTGCAAGTAAAATAGAGCAGTGAGCAAGTTAAACAGAAAACAAAGCCGGAAAACTGAAAATGAGATTTCAAAATATCAAATGTTGGTCCCTGTTTGATAATTATTTCTGAGCCAGCACTGTTTGCAGTGTGGTAACAAAAAATGAAAGAGCCTCAATTGTGGTGGCCCACGAGTTGAAGATTTGTTGCCATGGTATCCCAAAAAAAGTATTTATATTGGTTGATTTTTATGGGGAAATTCTGGTGTTGTGACAATTGCGAAACAACATCAGCTGTAGGAATCAGCTGGCTACAGCAGAAGTCTCAAAATGTTAGCAGATGGGTTCAAAAGTCAAGACTGTAGGAGCTCCAGCAAGTGAGAACAAACAAACTTGAGACTCCACTGATGGCATGAATCATGTGTTTGTGTTTCCCTATACATAATATATTATATATTTGCTGTTATGATCTCTAAGGTTACGGTCCATGTGTTTGTAAACGTGGAGACGGTCAAACTTCAGGTGAGTGTCCGATGTCTGGGTGTTTGTAACAACTGCATCCTGGCTTTCACCACCCATCAATGGATGGTGTGAATTTCAGCAGTCAAATAAGAAAACAGTAAGAGGGAACTTTAGAGACGGGTTCAACACCTCGAGACCAAGTGGTTTGTGTAGCCTCCATGGACCGCCAGCACTACCTGACCCTTATAAGACCCCAAACAGGATTATGCCCTTGCTAGAACTACAGTTAACAACAGGTGAACAGAAGAGAAGAGGTAATGTGACGGGAGTAAAAGAAGCTGCAGTCACTCAGGGAGGAAGGCCTTCTGAAGGGTCTCACTGATATATTATTGAAGTCTTGTTTTAAACATCCACAGTGTATCTTTCAATGTTTGACATTGTTGTTAGTTACACCATACTAACATGCTTCATGCTCTCTAAGTTAAAGAATTCAACCACCTGTGACTCAGCTAACTAATAAACAGACAGTCTGCTGCCCCCAGAGATGACCAAGAGGGGATCAAAGCTTGTAGCATCATGGGTTTGTTGGCTGTAAGTCATCCTGCCGCTAAATCACACCATCTGGCTTGATCCAGGATGTCATACGGGGATAGAGAAGTATCAAAATACTCTTCACAGATACAAATTAGTGCAGTGTTACACAAGCCACAGATATACGTAACAGAAAAACAACGCTGCAGTTGTTTATCTGGTCATATGAATTGGCAGTCATGTGATGGCCTCCCAGTCACCCTCAGAATATAATTAATCCTTAAATTGAAACCTCGAGGGCTTCAAAAGGAACAAGCTGCATAACCAAGTCTAGGGTCAAGTTTCTCTCCGAGTCCCAGCTGATGTCTCTTTTTTGATTTCTCAATCCTCTTGCCGTTGTTGTTGTTGTCGTGTTGTTGCTCGAAGTCGCAGTGCTTACAGTGTCAGGTGTCCATGTACCCTGTGAGAATTTTCCCCAAAGGCAACAGACAGAGGGTTGGTTACACAACTTTGTGACTCCCTTACCCAACCCCTCTTCCTGCTGCAGGGTTTAGACAACAAAATGTGATCACTATATTTAGTGACCTGCACTCTTTGAAAGATCTCCCTCTAGATATGTGTAGTGGTTAGAAAGTAATTACAAGAAAAGATGTCGTAGGCATAGGTGTTACGACAAATTGCATGTGACTCAAATATGTCCTCCTGATCGATGGAATCTACAACTTGATCTTTGCTGAAGACTTTTTCATGTTGGGTTGTAGTTGTTCACTGGACTGAACTGATGATAATTAAAAGCATGTCTAGTCTTTCTCATTCTAAGGTTTTTCATAAGAAGGTTTCTTTGTTGGTTGCACCAGGCTGTCAGGATGGAAAGCAATTGCACAACCGTATATTGAGTTTCAAGTAGTTAAGGTGTAATGGAAAAGATGGAGCAGAACGATCCTGACAGCTTAGGTGTAGCTTACTGCTAATTTGACCTAAATGATGAATCACTTTGCCTGTTCAAGAAAAGTAAATGGTTGTTCTTAGATAACCAAGCTTTCTTTGAGAAATCACAGCCATCATTTTGTTTCACCTAAATCACTTGAGATGTATGGAAGCATGAAGAAATAAAGTATGATGGATGTTTTAAGCTACTGAAGTCAAGGGTTGGTTCGCCCTGGTTTCTGTCCTCTACTCTCTTGCCTCTTTAATGTGAACTCCCTGAGGATACGACAGGATAGTAACTCTATATTTGCACACGTGCACACAGCAATTTCCCTCCTGAAGACCTGCACAATATTGTGCCCCCTGTGACACCCAATGTAAACACTGGTGTGTTGTCGTAACCCAAACAGTGATCTTTTCCCTTACCCTACCCCAGATATTTTTGATGTCAAAACCTTCACAAACAGTGACCCTGTCACATCCTGAAAAATATATCTGATATGTTGACTGATTTCTAGCTCCAAGAATTATGGTATTGAGTCTTTTTTTTATTGCAGTAAAAAAAAAAAAGAGACACACAAAACAAGAAATCAGGGAAACTAGAATTAAGAAAGCCAGTAGAGCAGAAGACTAGGTTTGACATTGTTTAAGCAGCGTAACTGCAATATTTTGGATCAGTTGTTGGCGGTTTGAATAAGTGTTGGTATGACAGGTCAATAGAAAGCAGCCTGTCCTTAACTGAGGGTTGCAACCATAGACTGTATATAGAATGGACGCTGTCTGCCTCCTCGCTGGGTGAAGCCACCCCGAGAACAGTACACTCTGTTGATGGGCTGCAGTATAGGTCATAAATCCCGCCTCCTCCAGCAAAGCTTACGGAGCTGTGGACAAACTTTAGAAATTTATTACACAGAACATAAACTTTTCTCCCCCCTGGTTGCGATGTTGACATGTAGTTACTGTAAGACTGGTTTGTTCTCAAGTCCTCTTTTTCCTGTACAGCTCCGTTTTTAAAAGTTATTAAGTTGTTCATGTTTTCTGTGATTGACACCTGACACAGCCTATGGGCGTACGAAGATTGCGTAGCTCTCCCAGGAGATACGCTGTTTGAACGGAGCGTCATCACAGCGACTCTCCCGCCAAATGCGTACAATGCTACTGCGCAAATGGTGGAGTGCGCACAACACTTCAGAGCAATGTTGGTTTTAGGAAGTGGAAAAAGAAAAACGCAGAATTACCAAGAGCTTTTCAGCTTCAAATCCATCTACTGGTGGAAGGCGGAACCAAGTTGTCCATAGTATATACAGTCTAGGGTTGAAACCCAAAGTGAGTCGCTAGTCAGAGCTGGAGTTTAACTCACTGGGTGAATTTGTTTTCTTAATTGTCTAACCATGATCAAATAAAAGCATGAACAATCAATCCTCACAGCACAGTGACTTCACAAATGGACACTTTAGGAGACAAAAAACAGACACGACTTTGTTCTGCGTCTTGAGCTAACATTATCAACATGTTATGTGGGTCATCTTGGTTAACTAAAATTAAAAAACAATGAGTGGTGATGGTATCCTTAATCCCCAGAATTTTGCCACATTTTGCCATGTCTCTGCATTCAAAACATGTGGTCATAATGGGAGTCAATGGGGCAAAAACAGCCGCTAATACCATAAAAGGAAGTTTTTTGAAAATCTGTTGCTGCACAAAAACTAAATATGCGTCAAAACCAATGATGTTACTAATCTTTGACATATCCAAGACTGTGAAAGCAGGTTAAAAATGATCTTTGTCCAATCGCTTTTTATATGGAAAAGAGCTTATTTAGTGTGTATTTTTCTCCATATCAGTGACTTTCTTTTTTTTTAATTGGTATTTAAAGGGTTAAATTTTGAATTTTTATCATAAATTCAAATTCACATAAACTAATTCTGGGTGCTGTCATAGCTGCTCATGTTTTCATGTACATGTATTGGGAAAGATGGATTTACTGCTGTATCCTGCCCAGTTGTGGTGGTCATGCGCACCCCCACTCTCCCAAATCACGTTGTGGCATTAATGGTCCCTTATATTACCGTCGACACCCTGCTCTGTTCGCTGATTGGTCCACACGTGTCTCCTCCCCTCAGCGGCAGTTTTACCGCAGCCTGCTGCAGACGAATGAGACTGAGCAGATGTTGAGACACCTGCCCTCAACACGCGGCAAATATGTCAACATATCTGCTGTCACTGAATCTTGTCTTACCGTGTTTTGATAAATCTCTCGATTAATGTCGCGTTTGAGGACTTTTCACTAGGTTCTCATTGACTTTTTAAAGCTAAACTCGAGTAAAGTCTTTTTTTTTCTACCGTGGAGTGACCACACCACACATCATCGACTACAGATAACGACAGCCCGTTTCAGCGATGCCTCCCGGTGTCGCAACCGCGCCACGGAGCTCATCCTCCGGCTGCTTTTGCGCCTGCTGTGGGGCGTCGATGAGACCTTATTTCACCGAGAACTCTGTGGTATCTCAGGGGGAAATTTACCAGCTGTAAGTGTCCTGAATAGTCTGTGCTCGGAGCGTTAGGTCAGATGTCTCAACAGTGAATGAATGTACCCTGGAGTTTGTTGTATTCTCACGATGTGATGTCTAATGCAGGCGAGCATGTGATTCGGTTTGGGCATTTTCTGACTCACATCCATCCATCCATCCATCCCGCTGGGGCATTTCCCTCTAATATCCTGTTATGACACCATTCCCTTTCTTATCTTCCCATCTTTTCAGCGCTGAGATGCAGTGATCCTGTTTCACAATGGCATGTGGTTTTCCCATATCTTCACAGGAAGGATGTGACAGCAGGGCAGCAGCAGCTGTACAGTCACCACTGCATGAACACGCTTCCTTCCTTTCACCCTGTGTGAAATGCCTCCTAGATACCACACTCATCTGCCATATACACTATCTTCCACCCACCTTTTGTCCTTTTGTTGGTCTAGGGCCAAGGATGTAGGAAAATGTAGTCTTGAGGGAGAACAGAGCATTGTATCTCAGTAGATTTTTCTTTTGACCACATGTCTGATGTGATTTATCTGATAGCTGAGTGAGGACAAGCTCTTGAAATTCCCGGATTTTTCATTTGATTGACCGACAAAGTCCTGGAAAAGTTTATCTGCGTTTAATCTCTATTTACACTTGTATGACATATGTTCGTTATTTGTACTTGCCTTAGAGTATGAACTCAGCTGTTAACTGGTAGGGGACTGAGGATCTGTGTTTATACACGACAGAAAGGCACTATGTTATCTGATAGCAAGCAGGTTATTGCAGCTAGTCTCTTTGTTTGCAAACCTCGCCGTCAAGTGTCTTGAGCTCATAAAAGCACACAAACCCCCTTTTGTTCAGTACATGATGCTGTTACAGGGTGCCACGTGTGTTTCCTTAGATAACACGATGATCATTAAACATATGTAGCAGGAAAAAACTAGTTTATTCTGTAAATATCACAAAATAGTGATACGGCAAAGTTTCAGAGCTCACAGCGTTGTCTGTATATTGTTTTGGACCACCAGACAAAACTTAAGATGTTATAAGAAACCCCCAATGAATAGATTTCTTATTCAAGCGTTTCCATGTTATCTTTAATTTGAAGAAAAAAGAGACAAATGGTTCAATTGATTAAGCTCCTGAAAAAGATATTTGCACAGAAACATGTCTCTTACTTTCGGCTTTAAGAATATTTAACAAAGAAAGTTCATTGTGTCTTTTAGATTACTTCATTCATAGTCGGTCGGTGCACATTTTAGACTTTTAAAGTAGAAATTCTGCCTCAGTGCGACTGCAAAGCTCTGCTCTTACTACACCTTTGGATGATTCATGTTTGGTGAAGGCATAACAGAGGCATGACTGTCCTGTCTTGAACAGACAATGAGTTTGCGAGGATGATGAGGGGAATTTCTGTGAGGCCCCTATAGGATGAGTTTTTAAGACTTTAATCACTCCCTTTTTTCTCTTTTTTATTTCTCTCGTTTCAGCATCAGTGAAAGTTTCCTGACTGTAAAAGGAGCGGCTCTCTTCCTACCTCGAGGAAATGGCTCCTCCACATCTTCTGCCTCTCGCTTCTCCCAGCTTCGCAGCAAACATGCGGGTGAGGATTTCAGTCATTGTCATCATGAACACCAAACATTTTCATCAAAATACTTTTGGTTTGGTTGAATCTGATCAAAAACTCATGTTGTATCGCTCTATTCCTATCAGGAGACATCCAGCAGCATCTACAAACCATGTTTACCCTCCTCAGACCAGAGGACAACATCAAACTGGTAAGTGTAACCTGTATCACACACAAAACAAACAGTCTCAGCGTTTTCAGCCAGTTCACTAAATTTCAACTGTGATTTCCTGCTGCAGGCGGTTCGCTTGGAAAGCGTCCACGCTCAGGTTACCCGCTACATGGTGGTGGTGTCAACCAACGGACGCCAGGACACAGAGGAGAGCGTGGTGCTAGGGATGGATTTCAGTCCTGTAGATAGGTGAGAAAATAATGCGCACAAACACACACAAGCCAATATCTGCTGTCCCGCTTTTTAAGGTGTTCATAAAATTGCGTTTGTCTCAGCTCTTGTTCTGTAGGACTGGTTCTGCCTTTATGGTGTGACACATTGATACACCTGGATGGAGATGGGTAAGATTAGTATTTTTGTGCTTTCATCGCAGAGATGATCCGCTATAAACACAATGCTGATCAGATGGATGTCTGTTTTTATTTCACCTCTTACTCTGTGCCCTTTCTCCTTTTACTTCCAGGGGTTTCAGCGTGTCAACTGATAACAGGGTGCATGTATTCAAGCCTGTCTCTGTGCAGGCCATGTGGTGAGTCACTCTCCATCGACTGTGTGTGTCTGTCCTGTAATGTTTGCAAGTGTTCAGCTATTTAAAGCCGATATTTGAAAGTTTCTATTTCTGTCCTGATTCCCCCTTCATCTCCTGCTGCTAAAATCTCATTTTTTAAAATTCTCACTGTATTCTCTCGCAGGTCGGCCCTGCAGTCACTCCATAAAGCATGCGAGGTGGCTCGTTGTCATAACTACTTCCCAGGCAGCTTGTTCCTTACCTGGGTCAGCTACTATCAGAGCAGAGTCTCCTCTGACCAGGTACGCATCAATGAGTGGAACGCCATGCAGGATGTGCAGTCACACCGTGCTGATTCGCCTGTGCTCTTCTCTGACATGTAAGTATCTGGATGGATTCAACTTTTCATTCTCCTCTTTCCTTTTTCTCTTTTTTAAAAAACATTTGTGAGATATGTTTTTTATAAATGATCTTCATAGTAATTATTTGATGTGAGTATGCAACAACGAAGTATTGACAATAAAGTTATAAAAAGTAGTTTGGTTAGATAACTACCAATGTCAAATGTAGAATCAGGCTTGGATTTAGTTCCTGTATTGCATTTCAGTGTCATATTGTTCTTGCAGACCCACAGAGAGGGAGCTGACTGAGCGGCAAATCAAATCCAGTCTGAGAGAGATCATGATGCAGAAGGACCTCGAGAATGTGACCTGCAAAGAGGTGAGTCTGCACTTCCAAATATAGGTTCCAATTACATGAGGTTGTTGGAGAAATGTATCTTTGATTCGGCCTGCAGTTTTGCAACAAATTGGGTTCATGCTCGAGTTTCATGAGTTGGTGGTTTTGACCTTTGAAAAATATAACTACGCCTGCAGTTGAGCTTTGCTGTTTGATATTTTACGTGTTTTTATTTGTTCCCGTAGATCCGAACAGAACTGGAAATGCACATGACCTGCAACTTGCGTGAGTTCAAGGAGTTCATCGACAATGAGATGATTGTCATCCTGGGCCAAATGGACAGTCCAACAGAGATCTTTGACCATGTCTTCTTGGTAGGTTGCCTTATAAAGGGAACTGTCACGAAACTTTGTCTTAAATGTCATTTAGAACATTTAAGAAATTAAAGACTGTCATTTATTAGCTGTGAAATTCTGTAGTTATCCTTAAGAAGGTTTCATGAACATTGCTTGTACTCGTGGCGTAATCCATGTCTGGGAACTGACAAAATATGATCTAGTCTTGTGTAATTCCTTTCAATTTTGAGGTACTTGTTTCTTGTTTGGTTTGACTGCTCACTGGATGTCAGACAGCCTTGCTACAGGATTTAAGCATTATGAAAAGCTCAGTCGCAGGCTCTGAACTAGTCTGAGGATTGCTTTTGTTTCCTACAGGGATCTGAGTGGAATGCATCCAATTTGGAGGAGTTGCAGAAGAGCGGGTAAGTAGGGGGACAAAAACAACAAAAGCCACCACACAGCACAAGATGTACTGAAGCCAATAACAAAAGAATCTGTATTATATAATAAGACACTAACAATGACTTTGTCTGGTATCCAAACAGGCTGTGTGTAACAACTTCACGTTCAATCATCTCTCATGTTTTTCTAATCCCTCTTCTTCATGACTTATTCCCTCCCAGGGTTCAGTACATCCTGAATGTAACCAGGGAGATAGATAACTTCTTCCCTGGTGTGTTTGAGTACCACAACATCCGAGTTTATGATGAAGAGGCCACAGACCTGCTCGCTTATTGGAACGACACCTATAAGTTTATATCTAGAGCCAAGTGAGTCTCATGACGTGTCTTTCTCCTTCCCTCTGAACATCTTTATCTGTTTTTGCCAGTCAGAGTTTTGTAGAAGTAAACTCTACTAACTTTTTAAAATGATTTGCTGAAATGTGACTTTGATTCTTCATATCTACTCCAGGAAAGCCGGATCGAAGTGCCTGGTGCACTGTAAAATGGGAATAAGTCGCTCTGCTGCCACCGTGATCGCATATGCCATGAAGGAGCACGGCTGGGATTTGAAGAAAGCTTTTGACTATGTCAAGGAGCGCCGGACGGTGACCAAACCTAACCCCTCTTTCATGAGACAGCTGGAGGAGTATCAGGGCATTCTGCTGGCCAGGTATTCACAGGAATACAGAGAAATACCACTTCTTACTGATTTGTTTTGGCTTTATGCATTATTTTATACTCAATTTGTGCAACCGTACTCCAAACCGGGAGAAATTTTTGGATATTCCTTGAAGTCAGAAACTCAGGTGTTGCCCATCATGTAACGCATGTTAAAAGCTGATCCCCTGTCATTTTCTCTTGCAGCAAGCAGAGGCACAATAAACTCTGGCGTTCTCACTCTGATAGTGACCTGTCTGAAGCCCATGAGCCACTGTCCAAATCTTACGCCCAACCGCACAGCCTAGGTCACTCCGACCCCCGTAACCAGGCCAGCAGCACGCCCAGTCCCTCTGTCAAAGAACTGCTGGAATCACTGGGAACTCCGATCGGCACAGTCAAAGCAGCACACTCCACCAGCCAGCCTGACACAAGGGTCCAGTCCAACCAGCTCAGCTCCCCGAACCGCTGAGAGGGCGTCAGCACCGAACCTCGAGACTTCTTCTTTCTCTGCTGTAGTCCAGACCAACCAGCTGTCCCCTTGTCCCGGGACCACAGCCGGCTCTGTGTCTCCCTCATCTCCTCACCTCTCGAACGGCATATGTGACTCTGAGAAGCAGCCCTCGTTGCCTCCCCTCTCCCAGCCGAGGGCCGCCACTGTGGTGCCTGAGCTTCAAAAGACTGACATAGTGACTGTTGCTCAGAGTGTGTTAGTAGGCCAGCCTCACCCACCTCCATCTTTTCACCACCTCCCTCTGTCCCCCTCTCCGTCCCAGACTCCAGCCTGCACGGACGATGTTATCAAACCGCAGGAGGTGTCCGGCTCTCCGCCTGCGAGTAAACCAATACTAGTGTCAGTGCCTGAGCCTGTAACACCGCAAGCACCAAGCACACAACAGGCAGGACCCCAGTGTCTGTCTGCACCAGTGCCTGTCAAAAAACCAGACTCTGACCAACAGGTGTGTTCACCGGCCAGCTCTCCCTCCACTTGTGATCTTATCAGCTACCCCAGTGCCATTCCCCAGGACAACGGGATGTTGTTCGGCCACAGCGCAGACCACATTAACTTTTTCAGTGCCAGGGAAAAGTTCAAAGGAATGAGTCAAGACGGTAAAAGTCACTGTGCTGCCGTACAGCCGCTGCCTCAGCTGAAGAGCTGTGGTAAAGAACAGCAACCACTGCCTCAGGAAGTCTCAGCTGGAGAAGGGAAAGAGGAAACAAAGAATAAGGTAAGATTTCAGCTCGTGGAGGAGAGCCCGAAAACTCCTGCGCCTCATCTTCACTCCACACAAGTTTTGGGTCATGGTGACTCATCATAACTTTTAGTTTGGAGAAAAGTGTCCCTATCATTTTAATATCATGTTTCTATGACACACCTTAAGAAGAGCAATACAGATCAGCAAGATGAATGTCACATAAAACAGCGTTTTCAGGATCTCTGGAAGTATGTAGGACCCACAGCAGTTTAACTTTGTGCTAAGTTAGGTTTTCTTTATATCTTCTACTGCCCCCCTGTGGCTGAATTTAGAACTGTCCACAAAGCTTGCCTGTCACATCTCGATCAGTTTGATTGCAGTGTCTCCTTAAATGACTTAGTAAATAGTAAGAATTTCATTTAGCGTCAAATCTGAGTAATCATTCATGTAGTTTCTCCTTTCTTTGTAGGAAATGGTGGCCCCTGTGCCGGCCACAGGACTGAAGCCTGCAGGGCACAAAGAGACCTCCCTTCTTGGTCCTCTTTGCCAACCAGAGCCTCAGGGTCTCCAGGACCAGGAAGTGGGGAATTCGAGACAGGAAGCAAAGGACGGGGATGTTTTATCAAAGACGGAGGCGGAAAGTGCCGAAGAGGAAATGAAAAACAAAGAAGAAGAGGAAGGAGCTCCTGCCCGTCTCTACAGCGACTGGACGAGGGGGTCTGTGCGGCGTGTGACTAAACAGTTGGAACAACGAATGAAACAGGAGCATGAAATGCCGTCACCCTCCTCGTCTCCTCCATCCCTCTCAGGCAGCCCCCCCAACTCTCAGCGACTTCCACCTAGTGCTCCTCTCGTGACAATGTCTGCTACCCAGAGTGCATCAGTTTGCTCACAGGTGGCAGTAGTTGGCAGCGCACAGGAGGAGCCAGAAGAGGAGGAAATGACAGATGGACTTGTGAGAAGAGACAGAGGTGATGTAGATGAGTCAGAGGCTCTAGGACTTAGTTTCAGAAGCACAAAAGGACAAAAACACCAGCCTGCTGATACCAGAAAGCTCTCTACCTCTTCTTCTTTTCACCGCTCTGCCCAGTCCCCCTTTGCGTCTGTGAACTTCCTGTGTTTGGAGGGCGTGACGGAGCACGAGTCGAGCACAGACTGGGACTGCTCCACGGATGGACCTCAGAGCGACATCATCATGAGGGAGACGTGGGAGACGTTGTGCGAGCTCGGTGCCTTCCTGCAGCAGGTGAGCATGGGCGGAGCCTGCTGCGCGGACCCGGTTTTCGGCCTCAGCGCCGGTACCACTCAGAAGCGAGGCAGCAGCTTTCAGAAGAGGGTCCGAGAGGTGGAGGCCAGGATCCGCCAAGCCGGACTCACCCCTCCCTCCATGATGAAGCGCTCGGCCTCTCTGGCCAAACTGGGCTGCCTGGAGCTGCTTGCCAATGACCTGAGTGAGTGGGAGCTGAACCGCACCTCCGTAGCTCTGTCCACTGCTGAGCCTCAGACGCACACAGTCAACGACGAATCGAAGAAGCAGAGGGTCCACAGCTCTCCCTCCTCAGCCCGCCAGCAGCAGGAAGTTCACATGATTAGTGGTGAGGGACTCTCTGAAGCTGGAAAAACCTCTCCTCCTCCTTCACCTCCACCATCAATCCCACAGGGACTTCCGAACTCTGGCAAAGATTCTCTGCATTTACCTGGGCCGACACTAATGACAACAAGGCAGCAGTATGGAAGGACTCACCCTGTGAGGCGGCTTAAGAAAAGGACTGCTTGCACCCTTTACCACACCATGTAACCCTCGCTGTGTGTGTGAGAATAAGAGAGTGAGAGAGAGAGAGAGAGAGAGAGAGATCATGTACACATGTGAGAAACAGAAATCAAGTGCACATGTTTGATTTTTTTTTTTTTCAGCAAAACAAACCAATGCCTCTTGCCTTACAGGATTTAAGTCCTTTCTACCTGTACGTTTTTCCCTTACAGATCTGTGGTATGAGGCGGTGTGACAAGGCTATGATGGTTAAAAAAACACTGTTTCAGGAAGCAGTACAAACAATCATTCCAATGAAAAAAAACTGACTTTATCCAGATACTGATAGCCTGAGCCTGCACATATTCGCTTCTTTGAATCTCGGCTGGTTTCTCCTTCATCAACTTGACATAAATTTACTTGATCTCTGTTGGTTGGCTGAATTGTCCAGCCTTGTTTTAGATGGAATGTAGCCTCTGCTTTCCTCTTCTCGTCTTTTTTTTTATTTTTTATGTCTCAACATCCATATTTGCTCGTTTTGCTGGGTCACTACTGAGAAACCGCTTTTCTTCCGGTACAATCTGATGGGTAGAATTAATCAACTCAGCACCCAAACAGGCATCTTAAACCCGCACATACGGTTCAAACTACATGCAAAGATTAAGCTGGATTCATCTAGGGACTGGTTTTAAGTGTCGGTTGTTCTAGCAGCAGGAGAGCTAAGCTAAAAACCCACAGCCACATCGGATGAGCTCTCTCCGTCAGAGAAATGTCCGCCGCAGACTTACAGGAATATTTAAGTAAGAATGATTGCATAGCTGTACAGAATTTCAGTGAATCAAATGCAAAGAGAAGAGGCCTGCTGTTGTTTTTATTTTATTTTATTTTATTTTTTATGTTAGTGTGTTTTGACTGCACAATACCTCAGTAAGTCTGAACCAAATCTGACCTGCACAAATGTCAAACTCTGGATTTCTGGAATGTCAGTGGGAAACAATTTCAGCTTCACTGTCGACAACTGAACTGACTCATCTCTCGTCTTCATCCTCTCAGTTGTGATGCGCTTAAACTGGATGATCTCTGTGTGTAGTTCTGTGTGGGAGAAGAAAAGTGGGGTTAGGAGGACTGGGAGTTGAAGGCAGAGTGTATATTTGTGAGTTTTTCTGCTTTTTCTTTGGGATGTAAAGGTCTATATTGTGAGTGTCCAAATTTTAGGAGCTGTACATGTTTTTATATCTGTTTTGTGTCTGTGTGTGAGTGTGATCGAGTAGCACAACTTTACAGTGTGGGTGTACACTTTTTTTATTTTTAAGTATATCTTTTTGTACACATTTTTAGGAGTGTGCCTGTGACTGGCAAACGAAGCTTCTCTGCAGTCTATCAGAAATGTCTGTACAGGGAGGTCTGTCATATATGCACTTTACTCCCTTTTTAATTTTAATGTGGCTTTTTTTTTAATGTATGGTTGCTACTGCTGGGGAGCATGCATAGGTTGTAGCAGCTGTTGGGTATGTGTGTATTGTCAAAACCTGATTTTGTTTTGTTTAATTTTAAAATCAGTGTAAATAGTCCTTTTTTTTATCATGTGCTTCAACTGTGACCATTAAACAATGGCAACTGAGGACTGTTTTACTGTGAGTGTTTTCATGTAGAGTCGTAGAGATGGTTTGGACACAATACAAAAGTTTGTAGTGCTATTCAATCTTTTATATTTAGTTTACGAAACGTCAAAAAAGAAGTGCAGCACTAGAAGAGGAAGGAGGGAGGACTGTGCACTTCAGGTATCCAGCAGGTAAGATTACTTTAATATTAATTCAGATTAATTCAGCAAAGAATGTCTACATTGTTGTAAGTAACTTGTAAGATTCAGTCTGAAATGAACAGGTTAGAATCAGAAAAGCAAATTATCCTACCAAACTGACATTAATCTTCATACAGGGCATCAGGATTTATCAATACAAAAAGAGTAAGGGTTTTTATTTGTCAATCAGTACTCAGTTTACTGTTGCCTTGAATTTTATTATGAAATTTTTCTGAATCTGTTTCACTCGGACAGTTGGCTGCTAAGTAAATTAGAAAATATCGCACTTTTGTTGTAGGGAAGAGTGGGTTAAGATGAGCCATTTTTCATATTTCGGATCACTACATCAAGGCAATCATAGTTTTGTCTCTAACTAGTGAATCTGCATATATTTCAAGATGTGCATCCCTGCAAATCAACAGAATGAGTGTAAACATAACTGTCTTGATAATATAGCATGCCAAAAAAAGTGGTCTCCTATGGTCAACTTACCCAGTGTATGAAGTTTCTCAACCAAGTAGGCCGCCAATATAGATTACAATCAAACCAGCAGATTCTTTTAGCAAGACATGGGACATTTTTTTCTTAGCTTTAAAGGACTCTTTAAAGAGCTTGCAGCAGAGATTGCATGGCACAGAAGACCCTTAAACAATCTTAAATTAAGAGCTCTTTAAAATAGATTTGAACCAACCAGATTCAAACTTGTATCTGTGGCCCTACAAAGCCTTCTGGTCGGAGTGGGGTGAAAGCAGCATCAGGCCACGTGTGTGTGTGTGTGTGTGTGTGTGTGTGTGTGTGTGTGTGTGTGTGTGTGTGTGTGTGTGTGTGTGTGTGTGTGTGTGTGTGTGTGTGTTCACCCCTTAAACCTTCCACTGCCCTCTGATTTTCAGGTTTTCTGTTAAAGGCCAACAGTTGTAACACTGACCCCCGCAGGGACGCGCTGGCCCCCCTGTATACCAAGCGCGCGTCACGTTTCCCTGCACTGACAGAGCTTGTTCCAAAATAGACGGCACCCACCCTTAACCCACCCATCCACCCACACCCTCCTCTCTCCCTGCTCAGCCCCGGCTCCTCTCCCTCTCTCTTTCCCTGCCGAGGAGCGTCACGCAGTTGTCCGGTACGTCTCCTTAGCGAGTCCTCAGTCAATCCTGGAAACCGGATCGCTGGGATATCACTCAAAGGAATAAAACCAATCGAAGGAGGAGGAGGAGGGGGAGTTGAAGGCTATACAACAGCAACAGTGAGAGTTGTCCCGGGGAAGAGGTGTCTTCCCAAAACCTGAGGTGAGCTGGGCTATGTTTCCTAATATGTGAGTGTGTGCTGCAGTGGGGTGAGAGGTGCGTCAGCTTCTTCTCTGCACTGCCGGAGAGCGCACAAAGAGTGTGTGTACAGTGATTGTGCACTTTCCTCCTTGTGTGGACGGAGCAGATACTAAACCTTGGATGGCAGCTGAGGGAAACTTGAAGGAGCAGCATAATTACCCCCCTCCCCACCACCTCCTCACCCTCCCTGACAGCCTCCTATGTCAATGTGCGTTTGTATGAAACCCTCTGCGTAATGCCTCTTTAAATGTACGGTCCGTTCATTAACGCCACAGCGCGCGTCGACTTGTTTCTGGGACTATTTAGGACCAGGGTGGGAGGGAGCAGCGGCTGGCCCGGGTGGGACAGAGCAGTTTGTCATGTCTATATTAGGAAAGTGGCAGTGTCATTCTTTCGCTCTGTCTCCGGAGCGTGCGCCACAGAGGAGGACTGTTCCATTAACCCGAGGCACATTGAAAAGACTACCTCGAAGGTTTCCATGTTTTCCTTTATCCAGATCTTTTCACACATTTACGCCAGTGTTTCTCAAAAACACACAAGTTTAAAGGTGAGACAGCATGCAGATTTCAACTCAGAATCAAACTAGAGGCTTTAAAAGTTTCTTGAGATTATAATTAATTTCTAATTTAACAGGAATTGGTTTTATTCTATCATTTCAAACATTTTACATCCTTCATAAGTGCCTCCCACTGAAACAGAGCCACTGTCTTTGCATTTAATGTTCATATCCTATTTATGATTGGCTTTCAAAAGGTATAAATAATAGGGCTGGGACGATATGCTTTTCTCCCGATTCGATTCTTCTACGATTTTTTTGGATGCCGATTCGGTTTAAATTGCGATTCTACGATATTGTCGATTTTCTCGATCTTTAGTCTGCATTTGTAACACAAATAAAACAGCTGAATGATTATGATTGTCTACTGACTATTCCAGGAACCATATTTTCTCAAAAATTAAACATCACATGTAGGTCAGTTTTTAAGATGTATTCTTACATTTGAAATAAAAGAGATTTAAAAATTGTAAAACAAAAGATTGGGATACTTATGTGAATCGATTTTTTTCTCCCACCCCTAATAAATAAGCACATTTATTAATCCAATGCTTGAAAACAAACATGTTTTGTTCAGCAGGAGTTATAACGGCAAAGGCCTCTTTTCTTTAGCGGCCAGCTGAAAAATCATAATTACAATCATGTTGAACTACAGTAGAATAAAAAACTGTTTATAAATGTTCAAAAATATGTCAGCTCTTGCTTTCACTAAAGCTCCACAACTGGCCTGCGTAAGTGTCTGCTGGAATGTAAATCTGCTGATAACAGAGAGTTTCCAGGAAAGAAGACAACACCTCTGTCCTCTCATCAGTCCCAGCCTTCAGACTCATATTCCAGTGTGAAAACCATTTCTTTCAGCTCAGATGAGAGCAGGAGGAGGAGGAGGGCCACTTTCTCTTGATCATAAACCTGTGAATCGACACATTTTTGAGGGGATTTAGCAGAACTCTGCCCACATTAACAGTCATTTTGGTTGAATTTCAGATTTTAGAAGACAGTTTTAGGCGATCTTCCAAACAAGAGAAAGAGCTCTGCTGCATTTATCTGAAGTGTTGTGAGCCTGAGGCAAGCTCACTTCTTTGTGTTACTGTAGTTTGAGCCTGATGGTGCAGTCTGTGAGTGTTTGTTAAATGAGTTTTAAACGACACACTCTCACAAGGACCGTGAATGTGACCCAGTGCTACTTACTGGCTAGCTTCACAGTGTATGTGTTGTATATTAAGGTCTCCCTCCCGGCCTTTTATCTGTCCTCTCTGACTTAGAGTTGCTCTTTGATGTTCAGCCCTCACATAGTGTTTACTGGGACCATCAACTATTAATATCTACACTGATGGCAGACACTGTTATGGGATATTGCTTGTGTTTTGGTGGATTAAACTCTGGGTGGTTGCCTTGGACGGCCACACGCTAGAAAGTGGTCAGACAATTAAAACACTTTAAAATTAATCAAGGTTAAAGAAGGTTATCATTGAACATATTTTTTTTCACAAGCAATTATTATTCTTAAAGCTCCTGTGGGAAACTTGTGGTTTGTTTCAACTTTGGCGCCCCCTGTGGACAAAGCTGTTTTGCTTATTTTGTCCTCTCAAAGTTTAAGTAGTGTCTTTTGATGAAAAATATCTCATCCTGCTGACTTTTGATAGTAAAATGTTTTATTCATTGTGAATTCTTTTTACAGAAACTGGGCAGTTTCTGTAGCTGCACAGCTGACACCACACTGGTATTAGGCTTTAAAAATCACTGTACACATATCATCAATCTCGCTCCTGATGGTCTTGTGTGTTTTTGAATATCAGAAAAAATCATCATTCAATCATCATCATTCATAAACATAAAAAACTCATCACAGGAGCTTTAAGGAAGTATAGTACCACACCCTTTATCTCCGCTCTTTGTCTCTCTTTTCCTGCCACTGTGTTATTTGTGCTTTTCTATATAATCATGTTTAGGCTCATAGCGTATAAGTTGATGGCCAATCAACAAGTCTAGGGTGTGGATGATGTTACTCTGATATGTCAGCTTTTGTCAACCTGTTGCTCATCTCGAGCGTCACCTTTTTCCTCTTTATGTAGCCCAGAGACGTTAAACTGCCAAACTTTCAGTACAGCATTTAACAAACCAAATGTTAAAGTTATACTGGCTCTGTCAATTTTTTAAATATATATTTGTGTGTGTTATTTAACAAGAATTGGACACCTAAAACCTCATCGTGACTTTGTGGACTGGTAGTTTGATCAGATTTCGTCGACAGCAAACAGACCAACCAACTTTCATCTAATATTGTACAATCCTGAAGGATGCCCAGAAGCACATTTTCTTATAAAGACATATCCGCCTGAACCCAGAAAAGAATCAACATAAAACAGTGTTTTGCTTTATTATATTCTCAAAGTAGAAAGCTGGTTGTAAGAACATTTTAGGGACCTTCACAATGTTTTTTTTAATGGATATGCATCATATATGAGAAGCAGGTCTGCCTTTGTCCTGAGTAAACTAAAAAACATTTCTTGCTAATAAAACTCACATCTCTTGTTAAATTATGTGACGCTTTATCTGGAAGATGAACAAATTTTCTGGGCAACTCTATATAAAGCTCAAAATCACTGAGTTCAGTTTGTCATCTTCGGCCTCAGTGAAAGTTACTGTACAGTCAATTAACTCTCCAGAAAATGGTTTAGAGGATTAAGTAGGGAATTTTTTTTCTTCGTAATGGAGAAACTTATTTATCGCCCGCTCTTTTTGCTCCTCCTGCTCTACTTTCAGTAACCATGAGTCGCAGCATTGTGCGGCAGAGCAAGTTTCGCCACGTGTTCGGCCAGACGGTGAAGGCCGAGCAGGGGTATGACGACATTCGTGTTTCCAAAGTCACGTGGGACAGCTCCTTCTGTGCCGTCAACCCAAAGTTCCTGGCAGTCATTGTTGAATCCAGCGGAGGAGGAGCGTTCCTGGTCCTGCCCATCTCTAAGGTCAGTGAGGTCAAAGGAGACACATTTCCAGGCTTTGAAGCAAAAACAGTGTCCAGTGTTTATACACCAGTAGAGATCACATCTAGTGAAGAGGGTCCCAAAACCAGACAAACATTTCATAAAACATGCACCCATAATCTCTGCTTTTACCTTTATTTTCTATACTCAAAAGTGTTGTTGTTTCATGTCTATGCTCACTCTCTGATGATCAATACAATAACATGTATACTGTAGCCTATATATGACTTTAAATGAAACAGGGTAAATAATGAGATGTGTTTCAGAAAATATGCTCAATCATAACCAAACTAACAGTATGTTTCATTGAGTTGTTTCCTACAGATTTGTTTCCATGGCATCCGTTTCTACGGTTTTCATAAATCCATTTTTTTTTTCACTAAAATGACCCTTTTGACCCATAATGAGTCTGATATTTAGAGTTTTGAGTAAAATGTCTTCACAGCTTTTTCACAGATTACCACTGAACTTGTTGTATGCATTCATTTTCTTTCTGGGATGTCATTCATTTAAAATCCTTTTTCACATGTCCTTTGGTCCATGATTAAATCCTTGCAAAATTTCTGTCATTTAAATGTTAGCATGCGAGTGTGTTTTAACTCAAGACGGAAAAATTGGCATAAGAAAGCACTAGGTAATGCCATGTTCCTTATTTTATACAGGTGTCCATAAACCCTTATCTCAGCACTATTTAGCCTCTGCCAAAGTGCTCCTTTTTGGCTGCTTTTCCAGTGATATAAAGTAAGACACAGCTCGTGGGTGTTATTTTTTACACCGCTTTGAAGTCAAGGAACAACTAGGTGGTTATGTCTTTGCAGAAAATGGCTGACCCTAACTTCTCGCTCTTCAATGTTAGCTAAGCTGGCTGTTATTACCTGAGGTGCTTTCATAATGTTACTGACACCTTGTGGATCTGAGTCCTCAGGAAGACCCCATGTGTCAGTAACAGCCACGATAATGTTGTCTAGGAAGCGATATTTTTTTTGTAGGATGGTAGGGGAGAGTCCCGCCTCCTTCGCATCTGATTGGCTAGAAAAGCTGGAAACGTCATCACACGCTCAAGCCAAACACAGGCTGTCGGCTCTGTACATCAAACAGAACATTACAGAACATTATACACTTCTGACTCTCCTAACCCTAACCCTAACCCCTAACCCTAACCTGACAGACAATGACGTTTCACAGCCATAAGGAAAAACCAACAGTAGCCCAGCACTTCTAGCCAATCATCAGTGTATCTAATGTTGATAGGACTGTCCTCATGTTGACCATGGACACCTGACTCTGTAGCTTTAAATATATATTTATTACAGAGTGGATCAACATAAAAGGACCCCTTTATGCAGTGTTGAGAGACATTTGCCACATTGGGAATATTGACTCAACCTGACGTTTGGTTGACCTGACAAGAGAGTAAAAGATGGAGTTGAGTTGTGTCTGCTGAATTACAGCTGCGATGTGCTTGCTGGTCAAGTTGCTTTGCATGTAATTATGCCTAAATTATGCAAAACATGTAGACTTGTTGTCCTCAAAACAAATGAGTCATGAAAAATGGGCTACTCAGACCAAAGATAAATGTTAATTTATTGTGGTTATTAACAGATTCTCCAAGGCTTTGAGTCCTCTTGAAGTTGATACTCAAGGAACTGAAGGATCTTTCTTTGCAACTCTGCTTCAGCTTCGTTTTTCAACATTGTTGGTTGCTTCATGGTTCTAACTAAATGAGATAGAAATGGGAATTTCCTTATTCCAAAAAGTCAGTCCACAAATTGCTCCTTTTGTCAGGATGGATATTGTAAATGTTTGAAATACTTTCTTCAAACTGATCTTTATTTTTATGTGGGTTTCAGCAAAGATTGAAGCCAGACAAAAGAGACAGAGAAAGGAAGATCATTTTAAATAGATAAGAAAAGAAAAAAAGAAGTATAGATGGTTCAGATAGGTTTGTTTTCTTTCGAGGATAGCTCATAGTTCATGGGCTCACTTGACTGTTCACTCAATTGGTGCCATGTGTCACTCTGTATAGTTCTATCTTTTCCACCAACTAAGTTTTGTTGATTCAGGATGGCCAGAGATGGTTTCAGACTTCCTGACTCAGCACTTGTCATGTTTGGAAACCCCTCCTAGCAACTGCACCTTGTGTAATGTCGAGTTATAAGTGGCCATGACAGGATGGATGTTACATGACATAATCAGAAAACTGGTAATGAGGAGGGTGAAGATGATGACCCCCTAAGTCTTTGGCAGGCGTATCTTTACTGGAGTCAAGTAACATGATCCCAAGTATCAGACATTAAGAGAAGTCACTTTATTATTTAATTGTATTTTAAATTTCACAGATAAATGCACAATCATCCACATTTACAGCAATCTGGTTTCTCAGTCGGGTGCTACCTTGACAACACAGTCCAATAGTTTGACAACTGAGAGCTAAACTAGTGTCACTCACATAATTCTGCTGTTCTGGAAATGTGAAAAATACAGAAAAAGGTTTGGTAATTGGAGCTTGAAAAATTAAGTTTTACACAATGAAGGATTTTAATGACTTTTTCATTTATTGAAATATGAAGGATGTTTTTATGTACTTTTCCAGACATGAAATATTTTACATGTGAGAGAAGGGGGATCACTGCTGGAATATATCAGCATATTAACGTGGTACAGAGTCAGCCAAGGATACTCCGACTGATCCCCAGGATTTTTGGAAACATTAGGAAATGGCTGTGATTCTTTACTAGAGTCATAGTGAACAGACATGCTATTTATAAACACCAACGTGCTCTTCATCCTCCATCTACCCCCATCAGGGTCCCCAATGGGCCACAAGAAAAACTCCCCTTTCAACGCCTCGTCGCCTGGCTATAAATACACTCTCTTGGTCTGTGCTTAAAATTGATACGTGTTCACACAAGAGGAACAGGCAAAACACTGAATAACCTGGAAGTGACATCACAATAATAGTCTCCTTCATATAAAAAAAAAACTGTCTAGTTATGTCTGTGTCATGACGCTCCATCGTGACTCTGCAAGATTAGGTGAAGAAATAGTTTTATACACTGTTTTTAAAAAAGCAGTTTTACTGGTGTCAGCACAGTACCAGTCTGTTATTTGTCTTATTATAACAGCTTATCCATATCCAAAAAACACACCTGATTCTGTTAGAGCGTTAACATTTGGTTTTTACTTTCCCATATTTAGTGTGTTGTTGACTGGATAAAGATTGACCAAAGTGAACAACTTGTTTAGACCCTTGATAATACCGTCTCAATTAGCGTTGTCACAATATACCAATAATGATGGCTAACGTGTTTATGTTATTTTTATTTTTTTATGAAACATTAATATCTGGCTAAAAATAAACACAGGGTCACACCATGAGTGCAAAGTGGTCCTTTCAACTGGTGAGTATGGGTCTCAAATCAGAGGACAGACAATAGAGACTTGGCAGACTGTCTGCAATGTTCAAGATTGATTGTGAATCCCAAAACAATCTTAAAGCTTGAGTTTATTTGGGTACCAGATCACTAAACATCTTTAATTCATCTCCATTTTCTTAAAACTGATTTCATTCATTCCCCTCAGAACTAACCTCTACCAGAAGTAGATTGAGAGTCTATTTCAAAATAAAAGCATAGTTTTTACCACATAGGAAATAAAGTAACCTTAAAGCAAGACAGAGAAAAATTATCAAAATAAAAGCATGACAAAGGATCATTTATAAGGCTATGTCTTCTTTAAAGCAGTTTTGGGTGATGTGGATAAATCATAAATTTAAACATGATGATGACATGTTGGTTTGATTAGTTTATAAAGTGGTGTGCTGCTCTACTCCAGCCGTGGCTATAACCTGTTTGCAGATTAAATCCATGCTGTTGCAACACATTATGACATTGTACTCCAAATGCTATCATATGATCTTGAATCATATATATTTAGGTGATTATAACAGGCTGAAATAAACATGGGTTTCTTTATATAACCTGGCACGTCAAATAATACACGTAAAGACTATAACTTCTGTTTTGTCATGTTCAATGTCTCAAACTGCTGCTGAAGGGTAAGTGTCAGATGAAGTGATTAACTGCACAATGCAGGGACCACTTCCCAAACATACTTCTGGATAAGATTCTCGATGAGATACATTTGACCGTTAAAAGAAGAACAAGGAAAATTTTTGTCAGTAAACTCTGGTACCACTTCAGGAGCTTAAAAGACTCACACTTCTGACAATAATGATGCCTTTCAAATAGTTAAACAATAATTCAAAGAAATGTTTTACATGCTCTTTTCTTTCTCACATTAAACAGTGATTTTTTAACAGTCGCAGTGCTAACTCTGTGTGGATGGTGTTGTGTTTTGCAGACAGGTCGTGTGGATAAGAACTACCCACTGGTGATCGGACACTCTGGACCTGTCCTCGACATCGACTGGTGCCCTCATGACGACAATGTCCTGGCTAGCTGCTCAGAGGACTGCACTGCCATGGTAATGACTCTGCATATGTGTATAATACTGTGTGTGTGTGTGTGTGCGTGTGTGTGGTGTGTGTGTGGTTGGGGTGGAGAGGTCTGAGTGGGAGATAGAAATTGAAAAACATGTGGAGGAGTTTGCTTTTGGTGACTCAGAAATTTGTCATAAAAGTCATCACAGTCAGGTCTGCTCGCCTGTTGGATAAGTGAAGTGATTCAGCGCGGGCATCAGCGCGTCTACCTGTTTGACTCTCACTGTCCACCCACCTGTTCCTGCTCACGTCTGTCTCCTCGTCAGTCTGACTCGCAGATTTTGTCCTTGACAGATTGATCAGGATCTGTCGAATGTCTGAAACCAACCTTGTTATAGTGAAACAGCTGCTAATCCTGTTCCTACTTCAACATGTTTCTGTTTTACTGTGTGTGTTTTACAGTCAGGTATAGAGGACGAAAGAATTCAGGGGTTAAAACTGGATGGATGGGGGTTTGGTAGAGTGGTTTGATTTTACATTATCTCCAAGAAGGACCTACACACTAAAAAATCCCGGCCATAGTAACATAAAACACAGAAAAAGGAAAACTGTAGCTTTAAAAGAGAAGTAACAAGCTCATTTCTATCCTTTATTGTTTTAAGAAATGACTTCATTTATAGATTGATAAGAAATTCTGTTGCCAACTGATTTTAATGGAGATAAATAATTAAATTTAGAAAACTAGAATGACTGGATATAATCTATCTGTTATATTGTAAGAATAATTCTAAACTTCTTTCTGTTAAATCTACATTTTTCTTGTTTGTTTTCTTCTTTCTGTGATAATTACACACCATACATTTTCACCATGGGACTGTCCGAACAGATGGTCTTTTCTTTAAGACACACACGCTTTGTTTTGCGTGAGCATGTGTTCAAATGTACGGTATGCCAACTATGAAGCATGTGTCCAACTTCTTTGTTTGTATCAGGACAACATTTCTTTTCAGTAGGTTTGCCCGCACGTGGACAGATTTGCCCACATTTGTTCACAACGTCACAGGTTTCTGTGATTGCATCTCTGCGTCTCTGATGGCGGCAGCTGCTGGGTCGCTGTTTGAGTGCCGTTTGCTGCCCTCTGTGTGCATGTGTGTGTGTGTGTGTCAGTGTGTGTGTGTGTCTGTGTTTTGGTAATGCCTGAATACAGACGGGCGGTTGCAGCTGTCCGGTTTTGGCAGAGCAGAAAGGCCATAACTATGATGTCATTCTCGGCGGTCCACAGAGAGGGATCATTGTGTCATCTAGAGAGGCTCATTAGAGTGTGTTAATATGTGCAACAGGGAGGGACAGGGCACTGTGTGTGTGTGTGTGTGTGTGTTTGTTTGAATCTACATCACCTGCTGGGTTTAAACTGAAAAGATTTCACCGAAACAAACAGCAAAATATTGCTTCTGTATTATTATTAGTTTCTTTCACATTGTACATCATATGTTCAGATCTTTATATTGTGAATCATGTAAAAGCACACTGCCCCTAAAATCATGCTGGCATGGCTTACAGGCTTTTCATAAAGCTGTGCTTAATGGTTTTATTTATTTATTTTCATTTATTTCACCTGTATTTAAAGGTCGGGTAGGCAGGATTCTGTTAAAGAAGCGTCTTTTTCTGTGGTGTCTATACAAAAAAGCTTTTATTATCAGTCAATAGCTATTAGTTATTGATGACATTTGGCAATATAACGATATCGCTTAAAATTTTTTGAGCGGCCCACTCTGTGTGACTGTAAACAAAGCAGTTCTCCGCCTCCCCCATCCTGATTGGTTGTGAGGCAGAAGCTGCTCCCTCATGTTATGAGGCTCACTCCACATCCTTGAATAACATTCACAAAACCAAACAGTAGAAACCAACCAGAATGTACAGAAAATTGTCTGAATCCTCCTTTGGCCACGACTGCCAGCACAAGCAAAAAAATAAAGAGACTCTGGAGGAATAAAATGGAGGTAGACCGGACAAGAGCTTAAAAGCCGAGTCGATGTTGGACGCTTCAGGATCTTATGGACCCTCGAGGATCATTGAGGTTTCCCTTTTTTACAATGATGCCGTTTGAACATATTTGTGATGCCATTGGCCAGTAAGCAGGGGCATTGAATTATTGTGAATAAATAACATTTTCTAAGCTTTCATCAAATTTGTGAAGTGAGTTTGATGTGTTGGAAAATGAAAGATCAAGACTTGGTTATACAACCATCTGCAGTTTCTCTTGTGTTGAAGGACAGCTGAGTTCGTCATTGATTCCTATGTGACCTTTTAATAAAATTTAAATTTTGATGTGCATCATTCACACAAATGGCCCAAAAATCCACAAAAATAAAAAAATTGGTCTCCATTCTGTCACCATCGGTTATTCAGACCACCAATTTACAAATAAACGACCTCTGTGTCTGATTTTCCTCTATCTGTTCATCCAGGTGTGGCAGGTCCCTGATCACACACTGACCCGGCCCCTGTCTGACCCTATTGTGGTGCTGGAAGGTCACTCCAAACGTGTGGGCATCGTCAGCTGGCATCCTACCACACGCAACATCCTACTCACTGCAGGTGGGACACACAAGCATACGAACTCTGACCTCAGGAAGGAACAAAGGTGGATGTAGAGATTTTGCATTAACATAACATGAACATCTGTCTCTGACCCCCTCAGGCAGTGATAACCTGGTTATCATCTGGAACGTGGGTACTGGTGAGCCCCTCATCTCCATGGACGACCACCCAGACCTCATATACAGTGTCAGCTGGAACCGAAACGGCAGCTTGTTCTGTACCACCTGTAAGGACCGTCGTCTGCGTGTCTGTGACCCACGCAAGAGGGAGGTGGTGGCGGTGAGTGGGTAGAGATATTTAAAGATAGGTGTGAAGAGAAAGACGTTCACATCTTTGTCACTTTATTCGTTTTTCTTCACAAACGCAGATGAGATGGTTGACAGAGAGATGAAAATTAGACAGTTTTATCAGCATATGTACAATTTTCCCTTCTACACCGAAAAAACAAAAAAATTTAAGGAAATATTTGAGAAGGTGGAAAAATTTTGAATGTCTTCCTTCATGTTGGCCAACAGGAGAGACTGGCTCCACATGAGGGGATCCGGCCAATGAGAGCCATCTTCACCAGAGACGGGAACATCTTCACCACAGGATTCACCAGGATGAGTCAGAGAGAGCTGGGACTCTGGGACCCGGTAACACACCAATTCAGAACCGCACATTCTGTGTTCATACATGCCATCAAAAAACATGTGAAATTTAATGATCCTGCTCTTCACATTGCAGTGTTTCAAATTTTTCGTCCTCTTCACAGACAAACTTTGAGGAGCCTATTGCACTGTTGGAACTGGACACAAGTAATGGAGTATTGTTACCATATTATGATGCTGATGCAAACATGGTCTACCTTTGTGGAAAGGTACACAAATATTGTGATTTATGGTTACTAAATCACTGAACAGTATGCTTCTTCCTTTGAATTTCAACCATAATAATGACAAAAGTGTCATGTTTGTGTTTGACATGTGTCACTTGTGCGTTTTATCTTTGGGCAGGGAGACAGCAGTGTCCGTTACTTTGAGATCACAGAGGAGCCACCATATGTCCATTACCTCAACACCTTCAGCAGTAAGGAGCCTCAGAGAGGGATGGGCTTTATGCCAAAGAGAGGTGTGGACGTCACCAGATGTGAGATTGCAAGGTAATAAGAAACAAATCATGCATTTCATGGGCAGTAAGGACTGAATATGTTGTCCACAGGTTTTATCAGGCATGTTTTATACCACAAATGTCCATATCTGTCTAATAATGCATCATATTACTTTGAAAATGATCTCAGAATATAAATCAAAAGCAAACACTGATGGATGTTTGCTCTCCTCTTTTCTCCCGTTCTCCTTTTAGGTTATTTAAGCTCCTCGACAAGAAATGTGAGCCCATCACGATGACAGTTCCCAGAAAAGTAAGTCCAGTTTAACCAGCTGATCTTAGTCTAATTTTTGACTAGCCGGAAAAGTGGGAATAGAGTGTCTACATCCTAAACTCTACTTCATAAACTCTACTACATTTGGAGAGAAATACCTCCTCTCCATTCGTGAATCAGTCCTCATATTTGAAAATACTTTTGCTAACATACTTTAAAAGGATTTGATCAGTTTATAAATCCTAATACACAATTTATACAATATGAAACTGGAAAAACAACAAAAAGCTGGGAATCATGTGTCTTTACCAACCTGATTTTCTCACTGTCTTGTGTAGTCGGACCTCTTCCAGGATGACCTGTATCCAGACACAGCAGGGCCTGAACCTGCCATGGAACCGGAGGAGTGGCTGGACGGCCGGGATGAAGACCCGATCCTGGTGTCCATGAGGGACGGCTATGTGCCCCCGAAGAGCCGAGAACTCAAAGTGGCAAAGAAAAATGTGCTGGACTCCAGACCCACCACCCGACGCAGCATGTCCACTTTGGAAACCAGCAGTCTGCCGGTAAGTTGTTGAAGGCGGAGTTTTAACTTCTACACCAGGACTGCACAATTAATTGAATTATAATTGCGATAAAAGCTGCCCCGGGATAAAGAAAACATTATTATTTAAAATGATCATTATGGTTAATTTTGATATATACTTAGAATAAAGAGTTGCAGCTCATTTTTCCATCATGTTATTCTTCTCCACTCACACAAATTTGGCCAAGACAATAAATATGGTCTATTAAAGTCCAAAAGCAGTAGCATAAGAGTGCACTGAGCGGGTGTATAAGCACAAACATACAATATAGGGACGATGATTAGAAGGTGAGTGGACGCATGAATTGATTTAAGAGATTGACTGTATGGATAATAATCATAGTTATCATTTCAGCCATAATTATGCAGTCACAGTTGAACCGTTTTGTGGAGATTTTTTATGGCTGTATTTGAAAAATGTGAAATACTATTACAATCTAGCTTTTGATGCACATCCTCAGTAACAAAAGGATGACATTTGGATTTATTTGTACCCTGTAATAAGTCACTTTAAAGATATTTATCTTCATGTAACCCCTTTCTGTTTATCTCTCTTCCTTTTTGAACCTGTCCAAAAACTTTTCCCCCACAGCTCTTTTCCTCATTTCGGTTAATTTTTCCTAGTTACTCACTGTCCTTGACCTATTTTTCCCCTGTCTATTTTTCTTTATCCTTAAATCTCCCTTCCCTGTCATTGTCTTTTCTCCTTTCCTCTTCTGTTTCCTGTTTTTTTTTCTTTCCTCTCGTCTTTTCTCTCTTTCCTCTTCTCCTCCTTTCTAGCCTCAGTTGCTTGAGAGGTTGCTGGAGGAGATTCAGAATCTGAAGGCCACAGTTTTGTCACAGGAGAAGAGAATCTGTGATTTGGAGGATAAGCTTTCCCAGTACACCAACGGCACTGACTGATGTGCATGAAACACACAACTTCTGAAAAACTGGAATTTCAGAACAACTGCTCTAAATCATAGACACATTTCCCTTCCATTTACACAATATTGCCTTTAGATAGAAGACAAGGTGCAAGATGAGGAGTGTGGACATTGTACATGCATACCGACAGTCTAAAAATTGGGATAAAAACATTCGTAGTGTTTTCCTTACAGAATTCACTTCCTGGTTTGAACATCTTGTGAACACCTTTACAGAGGATTGTTGAGAACGTAAGGGCTGTGTAAAGTGGACTTTGAGCGCTGTAAGTTAGAGGGACATAGATATGTTGGATGAACAGGAAGAGGAAAGTCAAAACTTTTTTAATAACCGTCTGAGAAAAATGATACAAAAATAGCAAAAAAAATCAAATGCTCAAAAAAATTCAGCCTTAAATGCATTTTGGGGGTTTTAGCCCCCTTAAACTTCATACAGTGGACACACACACAAGGTGCCGTAAAGAGAAATACATCAGGCACACATCTCCACAGATGAATCTGTCTGGTCCTCAGGCAAATCTCTGACCAGTTTATTTGAATGAGTCCTGCGGAAAACTTTTCAAAATGTAAATAGTTTAAAAGGAAGTGGAAGAGAAATTGTTGATCTTGTAGCAAAATGTGAAATGCCAAACGTTTTGTGCTCTGTAAAGGATTATACATAAGACCCATTGACAACAATAAAAAGAGTGTTTTATAAAGAATGTTTTTTTAAGCTTCTGTTTATCATCACAAATGTCCATTTTCCACACCTAGATCCCAAGCACACTAATGGAAACTAAAGATTTGTTGAAGTCTGAATCACACTTTAGGCATGGTGAAACAAACATACACAAATGTGTGAAAATCTGTTACCTACCAGTGTCTGTCCCATGGTTGCACAAAGGTATGATCACACCCTTCACACCCTCATGTAGTTTAACAACAACAGCTATGTCTAGGCCAGTCCATGTCGAACTCTGTCCAGCCCCCTGACCAACTGCCATGACTGATTATTTGGAAACTTAGAAAATACAAACAAACCTTTATTCATTGGTTCTGTTTGAGTCACTGCCAACATCAGTCTGTGCAGCTGGTTACAACATGCTGGGCCCACATAGAAACCTGAACATCACCTGTTCTCTGTCACTTTTAGATATAAATCAAATGAAGCTGCTTGGTCTTGCCTCATTTGGTCCTGTTATTTAAATCTTTTAAAAAAAAAAAAGTTATATTGAGGGCGAAGTGTTTTCTTAAGGAAAAATAATGGATGCACCACGGCAATTAGATCACAGAAAACAGAGTGGAATAATAACAAAGTACAACTTAAAAACACCTAAAAGCTAATTATCAATACTCTACAGTGCTCCCAGAACGTTACACTGTTTTTTGTCAATGAAATAATTGAGGATTTAATGAAGCACATTCATCACAAGTTTTATTTTTATTTTATCTATTAGGAGCCTGCAGAGCTGAAGCAAATTACTCCTTAACAATGTATTTCTATTTGCACAACAGAAGTGTAGTCAGAGGGAGAAGGTAAATTGTGTTGATAACAGCAGTAGAAAGAGACTGAATTATGTAACATAGTGTATGCACTGTAAGGGGGTGTGTGTCTTTAACCTTGTCTTGGTGCTGGCAGTGTCTGTTGTTTTGAAAATAAAATGCAGGGCAGCTTTTGCAGCGCCATGTGTCCATGAAAAGATGCTCTGATTTTAGTCACTGCACTCTCAGCCCAATCAATCAAATCCTAGTCCCATCTTAATCCACCATGCAGTGACTAGCCGACATAAACTTCCTTTAACAGGCAGAACCCTCAAGCAGAACCGGACTCATGTTTGTTACATTCTACTCTGCTGATCCAGTACAGCATAGTGTATTTATCGACAGAGCTGTCAGTTATAATGTCACATCCACTCTTTAAGGTTAAATAGTTAATTTAAATAACATTTGACAAATCATTTCTTTGTGTTGAATGTGGAAACTAAAGACAAAGCAGCAAAGTACACAGTCTGGATTAACCCCTGCTATTGCGCCTTTTGGTCCAGTACGTGGTGTAAGGTTCATCAAATACAAGCTGTGCTCTCACAAATGTTGACTAACTTAGCTTCTCTCCTTTACTGCATTTGCAGTAATAATGCATCATATTTATATTTGTGTGAAACTGGATTTCATGGTCATCAGACATGCCCCAACCTGTGAACTCAAAGCTTTCAGAAAAGTTTGCCTGATGATGTGAGTACTTCTGATATCAACCATTTTAACAACAGTCTGTTCAGAGGAGAAACTAACCACACTTTCTTCTTTGAGGTACAATTTTCAGGCCGAGAGCTGCTGCTAAGACGACAACCCAATTTCTATCAATTGTTTTGACATTTTATTGTTAAATACTGTTGAATAATGCAAATCTGAATCATAGAGAGAATTTTTAAAACAGGCTCAATAGTCACTGCTGAGGAAGGCAGAGGGGTTGCAGGACAGCTTTTGTAACTTAGCAACAGAGAGTGCTGAAGAGAAGTGCTCGGAAGATGAGGTCATGCCCCTAAAACAGCGATGAGCCGAAACTGCTCAAAATTGCAGTTTTCCTCTGTTAACTCTTCTTCCAATACAGTTGTGCAGTCAACAGACTCTTAGTTCTGTTAAGACTTGGAGCCCAAATATCAAAATACATAAGGAGAAAAGCGACATTTGTGTGACTCTAGTGGACTCAGAAAAAGCAGCTGGTGCATTCATTTTGGAGGAGTAGAAACAGCTGCCTACATTACCGATGTTATCGGCCACCAGCAGTTCCATATCAGGTGAGCAGCAGGATGAGCTATAGAAGACCATTGTTACATTGGCGTTGTCAGCAGCAGGGTTGGTGATTATGGTCCCATTTCCCTGGATGAGCCGTACATGGTTAACACCTGTCCCCTCAGCTCCATCAGTCACCCGCAGAAAGACCGTCCACGATGAGTCGCTGCAGTTTGCTAAGCCAGAGCAGTTGGACTGAAAGCTGAGCAGCTGACACTCTGGCTCGATAAAATCTGCTATCTATGAGGGAGATAAAGTGGATGCAGACAGATGGTTTTACATCAATCACTAAGTCAAAAAACAAACGTGAAGTTAAAGGGATATTCTGGTGTAAAATTAATTTAGGGTCAAACACACCGTAACACAGAGTTAGACACCCCCTCCAGAGATGAATGTTGCCGACCGCTTGCTTCTCTAGTTATATCAACTTTAGTAACGACTGCAGGATAGCAATACACAGCGGTCTGAGGAGCCATAAACAAACCTCAACCAAAACGCCACTTTATAGCCACAAATAATGCTCAGAACAGCACCTAACTTCATCAACAGTACATATAGGGTCCCAGCCACAGCACTAGACCACCAAACATCTTTTTAGTTTGCCTGATATCTTTAGCAAAGAGACTAAACACAACTCACCTATTTTCTTCCAGCAGCCACTTGTTTGTAGGGAGATCTCTGGGCGAGTCCATTATGGACTGCAGTGGGGTGACGCAGCTCAAGGAAGAACATTTATGATCATTTCTTCAGGGATATGCAATCAGATCGAGACACTAAGGCAGAAGAACTACCGCGTCTGCAGTGTAAAATGATAAATATGGTGATTATTACTTCAAGGAAATGATAAAGAAATGATCATAAATGTTCTTCCTTGAGCTGCGTCACTCCACTGTAGTCCATATTGGACTCGCCTGGAGGTCTTCCTACAAACAAGCGGCTGCTGAAGGAGAGTAGGTGAGTTGTGTTTAGTCTCTTTGCTAAAGAAATCAGGCAAAGCTAAAAAAATGTTTGGTGGCTAGTACTATGGCTGGGACCCTTTATGTACTGTTGATGAAGTTAGGTGCTGTTCTGAGCAGTATTTGTGGTTACAGAGTTGCGTTTGGTTGAGGTTTGTTTATGGCTCATCAGACAGCTGTGTACTGCTATCCTGCAGTCGTTACTAAAGTTGGTATAACTTGAGAAGCAAGCGGTCAGCAACATTCATCTCTCGAGGGGGTGTTTAACTCGGTGTTACAGTGTGTTTGACCCTAAATTAATTTTACTCCAGAATATCCGTTTAAAGCCTGGATTATCCAGGTGCCTTATTTTCATTGCAAAAACAATTCTGATGTCTTCTATTGACCAGGACTACGACTTGGCAAAGAATTGTACAAATCAATGTGGTTCTTCAGTGAGACTATTACCGTGTTGATAACTGTGGATCGCAGCACTATGTAGTTTGAATCCTCGCCGTCGGAAGCCTCAGCCTCGATGGTCAACCTGACATCAGTGCCAGATGGTGTATTACGGGGTGCCAAGAGGGTCACTGTACCATTTGCCATTTTTCCAGTTTCCAGTTGTAAGCTGGTTGGAAAAGTTGATGAAAAACCTTGGTTGTTGGTTGCTCGGATTGTAAAGTTTCCCCCTTGTCCAAGGGCCGTCACAGAGAAAGTCACAGAGAATGGTCCAAGTGGTACAAAGATGCTGTCAGCGTCACCCTAAAAATAAAGGATATAAGGTAAGAATCTGGAGTGATAAAGAGCTTTAATATATGGATTCAATTTTCTGAATATTTGTTCCTCTGACTCCACAATAGCTCACCACAGATACTCACAGAGATAGTCAAATTGGAGGATCTGAAGTGAGTGCTCGACTGCCTTTGGAAAACTATTGAAGCTCTCGAGTTGAAACTGTCATCTCTCCCCATCACCCGCACAGCAAACTCCACTGACGGGATGCGGTCTACGTGGACCAAGAAGCGACTGCTCCCCTGTGGCTCCACAACTCCTTTAATCTCCTCTGATCCCCACGACTCCACCAAGGTCACTTCTGTCACTGTGGCGGTGTCACTTCCGGTTAAAGACACCAACAAGCTGCCATTGACACCTGGTAAGATAATAAGAAATAATCTGATTTGACATTAATAAAATACATCAGCAAATCATCAACATAATACATAATTTCAGTTTTCTTTACCTGCCCTCGGACGGCTGTCAAGAGCATCGTATCCTTCAAATGGTCCCTGAGATTCCTCCACAAAGTCAAACAGGAAGTCAATATCACTCTGACCTGAAGAGAAAAAAGCTTTTCAGAACTAAATTCCTGCAAACAGTTATAAAAGTCCTCTATTCGAAACTGCTCAGCTGTGATGACAATGATAGTGATTACAATGGTAACATTACTAAATAAAATATTGTTTTATAACTATTTTATAGTTTTAAAATATATTACTACATAAAATATTGTTTTATGTAGTGCCTCGATTCAAGCAAAATTTTGGCGCGACGATGCACCTTGATTATGTGTTGCGTGCACAGACTGTATATACTATGGATCGCTTAGTTCCATTTTCCGACAGTATATGGATTTGAAGCCGAAAAACTCTTGGTAATTCAGCGTTTTTTTCTCCGCTTCCTGAAGCCAACATTGCGCAGTAGCATTGTACGCATTCGGCGGGAGAGTCGCTGTGATGACGCTCGGCTCAGACTGCGTATCCCTTGGGTGAGCTACGCAATCTTCGTACGCCCATAGGCTGTATCAAGTGTCAATCATAGAAAACATGAACCCACTGATAACTTTTAAAAACGGAGCTTAACAGAAAAAAAGGACTTGAGCACAAACCAGTTTTACAGTGACTACATGTTAACATTGCAACCAGAGGGGAGAAAATTTTATATCCTGTGTAATACATTTCTAAATTTTGTTCACAGCTCCATAAGGATGACTGGCGGAGGCGGGACTTATAACCTATACTGCAGCCCATCATCAGAGGGTGCTGTTCTCGGAGTGGCTTCACCCAGCGAGGAGGCAGACGGCGTCCAGTCTATATACAGTCTATGGTTGCGTGTGACACACTGCACTTTCAAAGATCAAACCAAAGATGATCATATAGTCCCAAAGTGAGGGATATTAATTTGTGTCAATAATGTGGCCTGAGTGACTTGATGAAACAAGTCTTCTTTTTTTTGGATAAATGGTAATCTCACCTATGACCTTCAGAGTGTAGGGATTCGCTGACACCATTCTTATATTCCATGATCCGACAAGCTTTTTCAGCCGCAGAGCCTGGAGGTTTCCCACTGATTGTGATGATGTGATCAGGGATCCTGTTGTGTCTGTGCTTTGCTGAGATTCACCTTTAAAAACAAATAAATTACCTCGTTTTGAAGATGAGATTAAATACTTGAATAGATTGTTATCATAGCAGCAGGCAGAAATCTCCTGACTTATTCTCTTATTTGCTAAAAGAAACACATGCTGCCTCTACTGTAGCGCCCATTCAGGATGAGGCTAAAATCAGTGCTGTTACCTGAGGGGTTGGTGAGTGTAACAGTGACTGACTGCCCAGTTATGTATACAGTCGGGTTTGTTATCGACTCATCAACCAGAAAAGAAAAAACATCTTCTTTTCCGGGGCTTCTTGCTGCCTGCAGAAGTGTCACCTGGAAGATGTCGTTCAACAGATGAAACAGCTGAAGTCTTTTAGCTGACATGTTCACACCAGTTAGATCTTTATTTTCTCACCAGAGAAGAGTTCAGAGTGTCTGAGAGGATTGTGGCGGCTGTAACGAGTTCATCTTTTGTGACTTCAACAATCTGACCTCCAGAGGCCTGAGCCAGTTCTCTGTACAGCTGAGCATCTGAGGCTGTTATCCTGTTTTGTTGCTGCTGGCTGTCATCTCGCCTTCTCCTCCTTTTGTTGGTTGATGTTGAGCTAGAAATCATAAAGTTGACCTGGACAGGAAAAAGGGAGAATGATGGATCAATCACTTAGCAGCATAAAAGCACAAATTAAATCAATAAATCTGAATCTCACCACAGATTGTGTCCGCTCTATGAGTGCAATCACTGAGCTCCTCAGTTGTTTGTCTTTAGCAGGAGCATCCGTGAAGAGGAAGATCTCCGAATTTGAAGGAGCCCCATTTAAAGCCAGCTAAACGTGAACAAGGTGGAGCCAAAGAACAAAGAGTTTGAGCCCTCAGCACATCAGGACAAGCTGTACTGGAGTAAAACTCATTTAATGAACATCACCCCACCTGAAGTCCTGAGAGACTCAGTTCCTGATCATCTCCACCGCCAGAGACTGGTAATGACATGAGGACACCCTCAAGGATTTTGGGGTCTGTAGTCTTTATCAGAGGTCCAACCTCTGGATTTCATTCAGAGACAGGAATCAGAGTCACACAAGGAAACCTGCTGACTTATTTCCACTTAAAACATTATTTCTGGTTCTATAAGCAGGCCCTGACATTGGGCTTTTTACCACAATAAAATGCTCAACATTACCAGTAAAACAGACATAAAATGAGGTAAACTGAATGAAACGCCTACCTGGATCACTGAAAGGTACCAGAATATAAGACGCAGGCTCAGTTTCTGTTCCCACCTCACTGTTGATAATGAAAGTGGTGACGGTCCTCACAGCTTCTATTTCATCGCTCATGCTTTTTGTCGTGTCAATAACAAAACAAAGAGCTTTGCTGGATCCTTTGGACAGCCTCAACATCCTTAAATATACAGAGATGAGTTTCGATGAAAGAGCCTCTGCCCCCCTTCAGAAACAGAAACTTCCAAATACAGAACATGTCTCTTACTGTAGGAACGGTCTATCACCAGCGGCCTCTCGGATGTCCTCCAGCAGCTCACTGGTTGCAGCGATGGCCATGTTTGCTGCCTGAGTGTGAAGGTGTCCATGACTGGAACCAAAAGTGTCCTTGTTTATTCCACCTTTAGGATCGATGGTGCTGGTTTGATCTACTGCTCCTCCATGGCTGCATTTTCCTTTTACAGAGAGTGCATGGCGAAAAGATTAATGATGTATATGTATTATGTGCGGCTAATATTACGGTGGCCAAGAACCACCACTGCTGCAAATAGAAAAGGAAACGGTGCAGATAAAAAAAAAAGCCATGAAGAAAGTTAACGACGCAAAAAATAAAAAGTGGTGATAGAAAAAAAAAAAGTTACGGACTGCAAAAATAAAAGGATGCAAATAAAAAAAGCCACAACGGAAGTGAGCTGTCAGGGACCAATAATGATGATGCACCGGTGTTTTACGATCTAGGCATAGAAGACGACGGCGAGAAGGAGAGCGAAAAATTTAGTAGAAACGTTGTTGTTTAATTTTGCTTCGTGTTCTTTTCAATGTGTCTTTTGGTTAGACCATGTAGCGCCTGAGTCGATATGAAGTTGAACTGAGGCTAACACTACACTGGCATCCTCCAGTTCAATTTCAAATCGACTCAGGAGCTTTTCTATCACCACTTTTTTTTTTGTCATTAACATCCGTTGTGGCTTTTTTTTTTTTTTGTAACTGCACCGCCTCTTTTTTTATTTGCAGCAGGTTTGGTTTCCTTTTATTTTCATCAGTAACTTCTGTTGTGACTTCTTTTTTTTTTGCATTCTTTTTGATTTGCAGCAGTGGCGGTTCTCGGCCCCCATATAATACATATTGCTTTAATATCACCATAACATTGTGCCCATTTGTTTTCTATCTCTAAATAATTATAAGGTTTTAAGCAGCTTTCATCAGACACATATGGGAGAAACAGGTAAAAATATGTCTGTGAAAGTGAAACTTTATCAGTGTAATGACAGTACGGCATCGTTAGCGTTGAATGACTCATCACCTTTTGGTTTGGTTGCAGAGAAAAGCACAACACTGAAGTATCCAGAGGTCAGGAACTTCCCTTTTATCACATCCTCTAGGATATTGTTGCTGCAGTCATCTCCATCGCAGCTGCGACACGTGGGCATGCTTTCATCTGGGGAAGTTTTACGTAGAGATGATGTTTTCTTCATTCACATCCAAACTGGAACAGTCATCACATCATACAATCTTTTTTTTTACCTGCTAGATTCCCAATGCTGACATTTGACCTGAGCAGATTGGAGTTTGGGAATTCGTTCCCCAGCTCTACCCAGTTACTGTGACTGTAAAAGTCCTTCAAGAAGAGAAAATAAGACAAAGATTAGTAAACTATCTTAACTAGCTGTCAAACACCATTGGTAATGCTTTTTTTCAATAGTCATAAATACTTGTAAAGGATGAAAAATCTCTCCCAGTGTCCGCCTGGCTGCCTCGTAGTTTTCTTGCTTGTTGCTTGCTTTGATGGCCTCTATCCCCTCAGTGATGATTTTCCTCCCTTGAACAAACATCTCCTCATCAAAGTGGAAGCTGGCATTAAGAGCATGGCGGAGATCCACTCGCGCGTTACTCAAGGTGATAAACGTGATCGCTTGGCGGAAGTTCTTGGAGGATTTTGGTGCACCGCAGGAAACAGCAACCCCATCTGCAGTGTAAGGCTGGGCCTACATAGAGTCAAAAATTAATTGAAGTACTAAAATGAATGTACTTACAGATGGTTAGGAAAAAAAATGTGGAAGGGGAACCCTACAGGAAAAGAGAAGTCTGCTCCCTCAGCTGCAGCCAGAAACCGGCACACTTGCACAGTGACATTTAAAATAGCCCGCTCTGTGATTTCAAGGTGACTCAGAGACTTTCCCGGTAATATCCCGAAGCCCTGAGCTCCTGTGAGCACAAGCAGGAGACACAAAAGTCCTGATCCTAGAGCCATCACTCCTCCACCTGCCCAAAAGCCGGAAAAAGAAAGAAATACATTTTAATTACTCCATTTTCTTTCAATGGTCAAACCTTGGTTCGCACTCTTTGGTCCTATCTTGCTAAATCTAAGCTGTCTGAAAATCTTAAAATCAGCTTGAAAATTAGGATTTGTCCAAATAAGCTGGGTTTGAATGGATATACATATGGACCCAAAACTCATATGCTTTACTGTATATCATGATAAATCAGTTCTCACATCATTTTTACAGACTAAAGATCATTTTGATGCACAAAGTTTAAGTTTGAATTCCTAATTGTGTACACATATGACTTCTAGCAGAAAAACATCAACAGTCTACAAATAAAAAAATCTGTCATTTGCTTTTTTGTGTGTGTCTACGATATATTGCTTTGTTAATAAGAGAACAACAATTTGACATCTACCTTAAAATAGTTAAAGGCATACAGTACCTCTGGTGTTGATGCTTCCCTGTGCACTGCATCATTATTGTGGCAACAGTGTCTCTAAAGAGCTCCACAGCCAGGGTGGGGTCATGCAGGACTTGTCTGACCTGTTGGTGAGGAATGATTTCTGCAGTAGGAAAATAATTTGAGCGGAAAGATGGTGGTTGCCTGGTGAGATGGGTATCACTGAACACTGGGTTTAGATTTTCTGTCGTTTTTATTTTCAAAGATGTTAAATAATTGGTTTGGAGACTGTTGAATTTCACCTCCAATACCGAAGCGGACCTTGTAGGGACTGAGTTGATAACACATTATCAGTGACATCTTTTCCAGGATAGTTTGTGTTTTCTTCTTTCACATGTGGTTTCAACATTTCTGTTTTGGGCGTGACCAAAATGAACCTGCAGGTTGCCGGTATGTCTTAAAATACTTCATATGTTCTTCCTTTTCAAGATAAACTTAATATCATATAAAAAAAAGGAAGCCCACAGCCTCCCAGAAGAGTAATCTTTGTGATGAGAGATCAAACCCTCTGACATGAGACTGCATTTCATTTCTCCTCCTCTTTTTCATTCCTCTGTACATTAACATATTTGGTGTGACATATGACATATGACACACACTGTAGCAATGACATTTGTTAACTTCCCTGTAGCTGCTGCTTTGCTGGTTGTTGTATGTAATCAAGCCCAAGTAAAAATAGAAGCCAGTGTTTTTGAAGAGCAGTGCTGCATTGGGAAATAGTTGCCATCTACACAAACAGCAATAAAATAATCCATTTTATCTCTGCTGATCCAGTTGGACCTGGTTCTCATCATTCCTATGTACCTCAGTGTTTCTGCACTCAGAGGTGTTTACTCAATCCTGAGCCAAAGCACTAAATTTACAAATCCTACTTGTTAGTTTTTTTCTCTGAGTCTTAAAAGGTGCAACAATAAGAAATAAAAGTCAAAGCCACTCTTATTGTGCTGTGTCCTTTGTAGTCTGATGTGACTTGTTTAACCGGTTTATCTGTAGATATTTGCCACCGTTCATGTGCAATCAGACTGGTTTATAACTGATCAAGATGCTATTTCTTCCATATTGATCAACGCTCAGTGTAGGCTTATTTCTTTTTAATATAGGCCCTTTTCCTCAACTGAAGAGAGAGGCTGGTTGAGAGCTGTTGTTGTGCTTGAAAAGGAGACTCGTGTGAAAAGCAAATTACTATGATAGTCAGAGTTGTTCATTCTTTATCCACTAGAGGACACTGTACTCATTTACATGCCTCGGTTTTTGTTCTTTGTTCTTTGTTTGTTAAATCTTTAACATTTAACCATTACTTTATCAATGAATAAAGAGGAGTCTCGATTTACTTCCACATCTTCACTCTCAGTCTCTGATCAGTCAGTGAAAAGATATGGGGAGAGATTTGTCTCAAAATTATGCACAAATAAATATTCATAATTTCCACATGTGATTATCAGATCCACAAATATATTTCCATGATTTTCACATTTGTTTTTTAATTGTTTGTGTGCATTTATCATGACTTATAGTTTGTAAATCTTCAGTTCTGCTTGTGAATTGTTGAAAAAAGTGTTTAGTCGCAGAGAGGGACTCTTTTGTATTTTGTAACCTTGAAAAAGAAACAATTGTACATTAAGTTTTTGACTGTATGCATGTTAAATTTTTCTGGATTGAGGTTGAAAATTTATTTGAATTGTTTTCTGGATGTAAGATAAACCTGCAAAAGAGAGATATTATTTTTTATTTTTAAAAAAAGGACATGGACCGGAGTCATATTTTTTTGTTTAAATATTTTTACTGTGTAATGAATATTTTATATACATAAATGTAAAAGGTCTCAAAAGAAACCAAATATCCACCAGTTTAGAAATGAAATGAAGATATATTTTAAAACACTAACTGGACTAGCGAATAAGAAAGCAATTCGAACTATGACTTTCTACGAGGTCCTCTCTATGATCTGTGCTGAATGTATGAATTTTTGTTTTTCTTTTCTTTCTTTTGCAAAGTCTTGATTCATCTGAAATGAATGTAGCTGTCCCATTTCAATTACACGTTTTTGTCATTGATAAAGAACTGAAATAAAGGTTTGAAAGAAAAAAAAACGAGCATCTCAGATTTAACTTCCGTAAGGACTCTAGCTGTGGATTTTTTTATTTTGACTCAGTGATTGATTTTGCAGATAATCAGACTGGTTCAAACTGTTTCAAACTAAAATATATATTTTTTTAAATTCTTAAATATAAAAATGTTAACATACTATGCTATGACATTTTTATCATATATATTTTTTCTTTTAAGATATTAATCTTTACCAAACTTTACTATAAGAATTTTTATTCTAAAAAATATGAAATGTTTTTCAAACTATAATTTGAAATTTTTAACATAATATAGAATGATATTTTTATCATACTATACTATGATATATTTTTTTAATTCTTAAATAAAAATTTTCTTTTTCAAAGAAATATAAAATATAAAATTTTCAATGTTAAAAACTACATTTTTAACATATTATGACATTTTTAACAAACTATATCATGACATTTTGCTTCAAACAAAAATATATTTTTCTCCTGAAAAATATATATTTTGTATTTTACTATCCAATGACATTTTTATCCTACTATAATTTGACATTTTTTTCAAACGAAAAATATGAATTCTTTTTTCACCCTAAAATCTGAAACTTTAAACATACAATACTATGACATTTTTTTAAACTAAAATCTGAATTTTTTCACTCCTAAATTGTAAACATACTCCACTATGAAATTTTGTTTCAAACTAAATTATAATTTTTTAAATTCTAAAATATAACATTTTAAACATACTCTACTATAACAATTTTTTGACTAAAATATAAAATTTGCTCACGATAAAATCTAAATTTTTTGAAAAACTATTTATGACATTTTGTTAAAAACTAAAGTCTGATTTTTTTTATTCTAAAATATGACATCTTTATCATACTATACTACTACATTTTTTTAAACTAAAATATGACATTTTTCTCACACTAAAATCAGAAAATTTTAACAAACTATATTATGACATTTTGTTTCAAAATAAATTTTAAAATATGATTTTATTCCAAAAAAATATAAGATTTTTGTCAAACTTTATACGGCACTTTTTTCAAACTAAAAGATGATTTATTTTTTATCCTTTTATTTTATTTAAAACTAGAGTATATGTTTTTTTTTATTCTAAAATATAAAATGTTTTTCACACTAAAATTTGACATTTTTAACATTCTATACTATGACATTTTTAACAAACCATACGGTATTTTTTTAATACAAAGTAAGATTTTTTTTCACAAAAAAATAAAATTTTCAGTATTAAAAACTACAACATTTTGATTCAGACTTTTTTTATTTTAAAATATAAACATTTTAACATACTATACTATGACATTTTTTATCATACAATACTATGACATTTTTTTTCTACTAGAATATTAAATATTTTTGAGGAAAATATCAAATTTTTATCACACTATGCTTTCACATCTTTATCATACTATACTATGAGAATTTTTGAAAACTAAAATCACAATTTTTTCCTCACACATAAATCTGAAACTTTTAGCAAACTATAATATGACTTTTTGTTTCATACTCAAATATGATTTTTTTTTTTATTCTAAATTTTTTTTTTCCAAGAAAATAATAAATTTTGTAACGCAGCCCATTATAAAAACAACAGCAAGATTTGGTCACATTTAGCTTCAAACAGCATTTAAAAAAGTGATGTGAATTTTCGGCAGTCATTTTTTTGCACATTTACAACAACATTTAAATACTAAAACTAAATGTTAAATGTTTAATCTAAATGCTAAATCTAAATGTTAAATATAAATGTTAAATCTAAATGTTAAATATAAATATAAATGTTAAATCTAAATGTTAAATATAAATATAAATGTTAAATATAAATATAAATGTTAAATATATATGTTTAATCTAAATGTTAAATCTAAATATAAATGTTAAATATAAATGTTAAATACAAATCTAAATGTAAATGTAAACTAGTTATTAACACGAAACAGCACCCCAAGTATTTGTTCCCCCCTTAAATTGGTTTTAATTAGTTTTCTTCGACACAAGAATCATCAATATGACCTTCTGGAACTTTTATTTTGGCACTTCCGGTTTCCAACCGTGAATTTGCATATTAGCTAAATATTAAGTTTCGCCCAACACATTTAGATTTAACATTTACATTTAGATTTATATTTAACATTTAGATTTAACGTTTATATTTAACATTTAGATTTAACATTTAGATTTATATTTAACATTTAGATTTTTATTTAACATTTAGATTTAACATTTAGATTTAAATTTAACATTTAGATTTAACATTTATATTTAGATTTAACATTTAGATTAAACATTTAACATTAGAGATTAAACACTCGAGTCTTTCTAATAAAGTTTTTGTTGTTGCTGTTGCTATTGTAGGTAGTTATTAACACGAAACAGCACCCCAAGTATTTGTTCCCCCCTTAAATTGGTTTTAATTCGT